TAGTAACATAAATAATCAACCCTTAATCATAAAACCCAAATTTTGCAGTAGTTTAAAAACATATTTTTCGGCTAACACTACATTCGAAATCAAAATTGCAAATAAATATACTAAAACTGAATTTCCTTCATATAGGAAAACGTCTCATGATATCTGTCCATCTAATTCTAAAGATGGCTTAAGCATTGCTAATTGCCTTATCTCCATCTAAAAAAATATTGACTTTGTTAGTCACTCTAGCAGTTGCAAATCTAGTAATCCAATCAAAAATATTTAATTTCAGTGGCAAGACTAAATTTCTATTCTCATAGACCTATTATAAAAGAAAGATAGATCCTTCTGTATTGAAGTAACTGATTATAATAATATGCTACTTGCTTTATTTTTCAATAATATTTTTGTAGTAAATATTAAAGATTACTAAAGTGAGGTGAGTTTATAGTATATGGAGCCATCTACGATGATCAGCTCTGTAAATTTGTACAGAGTGGGCCACTTTTGGTAGCAAATCCTTACTCAAATTATAAGATGATGCTACAGACACCCCGACTTTAATATTAAAAGTAGAAAGAGAGACAAGATTAAGGTTCCATTTATTATTCTTATTAATTGAAGTTTAAAAAATGAGTAATTACTTTTATATATATAGTTAATTTTAATTAGTTTAAATGGATGTTTACTTGAAAAAAAAATACTTTTTATTTATTATATTTGATATTGATTCAAGATATTTAATTTATCAATTTTTGTGACTTCTTTCTGTTGTTTATTTTGAGTTTTAAATAAAAATTTATCAAAGATAATGATAACCTGCAGCAATGTTAATTAAAGAATTGCAAAATATTCTATAAAATAGAACTTATCATATATTATAGATTAATTAAAGAATTTATTAATAAAAATTAAAAATATTTAAAGCTAAACACATCATTTTGTAATGATAAATTTTCATAATTATTTTATTATCATAAACTATATATATCATATTTGATACTTTAATAAAAGGATAAACAATACTAGTAAAAGTAAAATTGAACAAAAAATCAAAATATTGGTCTTATTTATATATTTTGATGAACAGCATTATTTCTGATTCTTATTACTACCTAATTTAGTTTTATTGTTTACTTATTCCAGTTTAAGTTGATACTTGGACATCATATAAGTTGTTATTTTCTTCACTTGACAAATTTACTTAACCCTAAATTAGAAAATCTGAAGTTGTATCAACACTGTCGCATAATTAGTTTGGATATTTTGATTCTCTTCTCAAAGTATCAAACATATCTGGTGTGTTCCTAAAATATGAATTTTAACTTTTTAATATATCATTTCCTTGATACTCTAGTTATTCTGTAGATAAATTTGCTATTGAATTCCTATTCAAATATTACAGCGCTTCAAAAAAATCAGGTCTGTTATAATTTATTGGATCTAACATTTTTGAAATCAATGTCTGAATTTATGTACCATAAACTTATTCAATAAGCATAAAAGTGATATGATTAATTTTAAAAAAATCTATTTAAGGGTGCATTTAAATCAAGCAGAGACCCAAACTATATACTTGTGCTTTGTAAGGATTATAATTAAATGANAGTCACTCTAGCAGTTGCAAATCTAGTAATCCAATCAAAAATATTTAATTTCAGTGGCAAGACTAAATTTCTATTCTCATAGACCTATTATAAAAGAAAGATAGATCCTTCTGTATTGAAGTAACTGATTATAATAATATGCTACTTGCTTTATTTTTCAATAATATTTTTGTAGTAAATATTAAAGATTACTAAAGTGAGGTGAGTTTATAGTATATGGAGCCATCTACGATGATCAGCTCTGTAAATTTGTACAGAGTGGGCCACTTTTGGTAGCAAATCCTTACTCAAATTATAAGATGATGCTACAGACACCCCGACTTTAATATTAAAAGTAGAAAGAGAGACAAGATTAAGGTTCCATTTATTATTCTTATTAATTGAAGTTTAAAAAATGAGTAATTACTTTTATATATATAGTTAATTTTAATTAGTTTAAATGGATGTTTACTTGAAAAAAAAATACTTTTTATTTATTATATTTGATATTGATTCAAGATATTTAATTTATCAATTTTTGTGACTTCTTTCTGTTGTTTATTTTGAGTTTTAAATAAAAATTTATCAAAGATAATGATAACCTGCAGCAATGTTAATTAAAGAATTGCAAAATATTCTATAAAATAGAACTTATCATATATTATAGATTAATTAAAGAATTTATTAATAAAAATTAAAAATATTTAAAGCTAAACACATCATTTTGTAATGATAAATTTTCATAATTATTTTATTATCATAAACTATATATATCATATTTGATACTTTAATAAAAGGATAAACAATACTAGTAAAAGTAAAATTGAACAAAAAATCAAAATATTGGTCTTATTTATATATTTTGATGAACAGCATTATTTCTGATTCTTATTACTACCTAATTTAGTTTTATTGTTTACTTATTCCAGTTTAAGTTGATACTTGGACATCATATAAGTTGTTATTTTCTTCACTTGACAAATTTACTTAACCCTAAATTAGAAAATCTGAAGTTGTATCAACACTGTCGCATAATTAGTTTGGATATTTTGATTCTCTTCTCAAAGTATCAAACATATCTGGTGTGTTCCTAAAATATGAATTTTAACTTTTTAATATATCATTTCCTTGATACTCTAGTTATTCTGTAGATAAATTTGCTATTGAATTCCTATTCAAATATTACAGCGCTTCAAAAAAATCAGGTCTGTTATAATTTATTGGATCTAACATTTTTGAAATCAATGTCTGAATTTATGTACCATAAACTTATTCAATAAGCATAAAAGTGATATGATTAATTTTAAAAAAATCTATTTAAGGGTGCATTTAAATCAAGCAGAGACCCAAACTATATACTTGTGCTTTGTAAGGATTATAATTAAATGACTCCAAACCCTCCTTTATGGCTTATTGGATTTCTGGTGCATGATATTATTTTGTTGAAATTATGCAAGGCTATAATTTAGCATGAAAAAGCTAAATCATATTGTCAAAATCACAAGTCTTAAATTGTGTCGGATTAATTTTGTCATTAATCAAGATATTTTATGGCTTTATATCACCATGACACAAATGAATAGATTATAAAAAAGCATGAGTTTGAACAGTAGATTTTAATAAATTTGAAAAAGAATTTTTATTGATGGGTAACTATTAATTTCTAATCAATTCAATATGATCTTACAAGCAATATTTCATATATTCCATACAAATGAATATGACTACCGATTAATTATTATGTATACTTGTTTAAAATTTCCCTGAAAATCTTTATTATTGTTGCATAGCCATTCCATATATTTATATGATTGTTTCGTTATATCCTTTCTATATTTGATATTGTTTTTTTAGTTTTTCTATTTGTTCATTTTCTCTAAATTTTATTAATTAATACACAATTATTGAAATATAACCTCTTTAACAGCAACAGCTTAATTCAAAAATTTATATAGGTATACCCTATTATTGGAAGATGCGATTAATTTAACTTAGTGGTATTTTTTCAAATCGAAAAATGGAATATCAGGATGAACTTAACAAAATAAATTTTCCATATTAATTTAATAATATATTACAAAATCTCACAATTCTTTTGTAGAATATTGAATTAGCTGTTAATTAATATTTAGGATTAGATAAGGATATAAAATATAAATAAATATTACTCACTTTTTTCTTTTTAGAAGTTATTATTAATTTTTAGTATTTCAAGCTCCTATTTTTCAGTATATTTTTATTCAGTGATATTAGCTTCGTTGTTTTTCATTCTTTTAAATGATTTCTATTGTTTTAAAATAAATAATCTTAATACCTAAGTCAATTATGGTAAGTAGTGTATTTTTGGTACGTAATTAAGCCATGAAATTGAGAGTTATTATTCATTAAATCGATGAATTAATCATATCCCTATTTTTCAAAATCAGCTTGAAATAATCAAAAATATCCTTACAAACTTTTCTTAATAAAAATGATTTATAAAAAACAACTGTAGAAATTTTTAAATTATAATAATCCTTATTACAATAAGATTCTATTCCATTTGTGTAAATTACCAAATTAATGAATGTTCTATTTAAAACTTCCTGTATTACTTCCAAATTCAGTCATTTAGTTGGTTTTGAAAGCATCTTGTGTCAGGTAAACTTTCTTTCGAAATTTAAAGAACATTTTTCCATTTAATCTTCAATTTTGACACTAAAACACAAATTTCATATCTTTCATCAAATTAATTTATGTATAAACATTAAACTATTGATCCTAAAGAACTTTCGAAATAAGGACTATAAATTATCTAATTCTTCTATAAAAAACTATCTTTCTTTTCTAATAATAATCCTTATTATTAAATTTTTTGCTTATATTGATGATATTGATGAATTTATAAGTAAAATATTATTTATATTTAATTAAAATAATTTAGTAAATTAAGAAGTTAGTTATATTTTATGTTGAATTATAATTTAAAGGGAAGAATTTTCTTAAAAGTATAGCAAAAATTCCTATTTTTTTATAATTATGCTAGCCTTTACATTGTGGGATTAAGGTTATCCAAGCCTTCTAAGAATAGCATACATAGTAAGATGATTATTTAAGAGATTATCTTTAGAGTTACAATTCTAAATGATAATCGATAAATATTGCAAATTTTTAAGTTAAATTAGATGAAGAAACAAAAAAAAACAATGTAAGAATTAGAGTTTCAAATTACACCAGCTTTGGATTATAAAATAAGAGAATGAGATGAGATATGAAAACATTTATATGAGAAATGAAGTTATAAGAGGATAGGAATAATATATTTAGAGGGTCAAGGAATAGAACTTTGAAAAATAAAAATTGAATTTCAGAAACTTAGAAGCCACCTGAAGTAAAATTATTCAAAATTAATAAAATGTAATAGGAAAATTCAGAGGTTTAATTATGAAAATTTAATAACTCAAATTTTCGATTTAAATCAAGGTAATAAAAATTTTGAATGAAACTTTAAAATTATATTGGAAGCAGAGAAAAGCATGAGAGAAATGTTGTCAGGTTATAAGATGAGGATATGAGATAATATGTAGGTATAGAAAAAGATAGAGAAAAATTAGATAAAGACTAGAATAATGCTCTATCAAGCTAGCTGAAAGGATAGACTATTGAAAGAAAAATAAATGGAATATGATTAAATTATTCAAGATTTAAATAATAAATCAGAGAACTTGATTCTTAATTCAAGTAAATTAATTAGGTTAAAGAAAAACTAAGAAATAAATTACAATTTAAAGAATTATAGAAATAAGTCTCTAAATAGAGTACTTTTGTACTTAATAAATTTAAGAAGTTCAGTTTAAAAATGTACATAACAAGAAGGTTGGAAAAAGATAAAATTTATCTAGAAAACTTAATTAATCAAAGTAATTGTATTATTTTATTTCCAAAAAAGAAAATAATGGAAGAATATATAACTTACTTTATATTATTTATTTTGTTTATAATAATTGTCTTATTTGGATATTAAACGGGAAACATTAAAGAATTATTTATTTTAGGAATGATTCTTTAATTTTTTTACTGTTAATTTTAATGATTTATCGATTTGAAGATGTCATTGTTTTAGGCACTGAAAGATTATGAGAATATGATGCCAAAATGTTAAATCATCAAATAATAACAAAAGATCTAGCAAATTATTAGCGTGAAATAAAATGAAATAAAGTACAAAATGAATCAAGAGATAGAGAGGTAGTTTTCTAAGAAAAAATTTTACATTAAAATAGTAATTTGAGTTGGAGATGAAGATTTAAAAGAAAATCTAGCTGACTAATCAGATACAGCAGAGATGGAAAAAGAAAAATGCATAAAATTTATTGAAAGATGAAATTAAAGGATTGTAAGATGAAATTCAATATTTTTAATCTAAAACATCGAAGCATAAAAAAATTAAATAATTGGCTGAAAATTTCACTTATTAATTATCATAATAGAAATAAGAAAATATGTGATTAATTGGATGTAGAAAGAAGTAATTTCGAAATTCTAAGAAAAAGATTAAAGGAGTAGAAAAGGTAATTCGACTTTGATAACAAACATTGAAAAAGGAAAAATAGATTAGAGTGGAGCAAATGCATTTAGAAAGATTTTAGTAAAAATAAAAATATCAACAATTACAATAAGTAATGGATTAGATGAAATATAATTTAGCTTATAAAGAGCAAAAGCTGGAGCTAAGAAACTAATACCATAATGACTTGAATCAATTTTACATAAATAAATCGAATATGCCTAGAGTTTAGAATTTTAATATATAGAATTAGATGAGGCTACTGAAAAAAATATAATAAGTTGAAAACCAAGTATGAAGAATTGCAATACATTATGAGAAAGACTTATAATCAATAAGAAAGGAAACCTTTGAGACCTATAAAATGAATAATGAAAAAATATTGTTGATACATTAGGAATTGCCTCAAAAGATTGATAATAAGAAGATGAAACAGGATTATAATTGCTGAATCTATTAGAATAAGCGTAACAAAGATCTTCCTAAATGTAAAATAAAAAAGTATTAAAAAAATTATCATCTTGATTACTATTATATATTTGTATTCATATAAATGTTCTAAAATTATAGATTTAGATTTTCGAACAAAGTCTTGACTTAATAATGATTTGGTCAGAATCTTTATTATTACTTTTACTTAATCAGAGATGCTACAAAAAGTTGTAACTGCAATCATTAGTATAGCTCTAATCAATATAATTGAAACACAATTTATTTTATAATTTGAACAGCTAAAATCGCTCTAAGCAATTATAAAGGTATTGTTAATTATTCGGACTTTTAAATTGAAGATTTTTCTTCTTAGTGAAGATAAAATTAAGAGTCACAATTTTTTATTGATTCAACAAAAAGTAAAAGTAAATTAGATATTGTCAATTAATCTACAATCCCATTCCAATTCGAATTGAATATTTTGAAACCTTTTCATCTCCATCAGTTACATGTAGCTGATCTAATGATTATAAGGAATACCTTTTTTCTTAGAGTTACAAATTCATTCTCATAAATTCTTATCCACTATGATTTATATTAACTTCTAAAATATTGATATCATCATCAAAGTTTTAGGATTAAACTTCATCAATAATTCCTAAATATTAAGAATAATTTTTTTTTTAACTTCTACTGTAACTCTTTCCTGCAGGGTATATTTAATTGCTTATTAGTAAATATAACATAACTTAATAGAATCCTTTTGTACCGTTTGTAATTATGTTGGCATAATTTTCTCTAATTTCTAATTCATACATTAATTTTTTCCTTATTATAAAATTTTCATTAAACCAATACATTCAGCATATGCTTGTATCAATTCAAATTTATTTCTTCTTAATTTTAATTGATCATCTAATATATATCTTTAATCAAAAACGTCCTAAACTTTAAATAAATACAATATTATGAATGTCAAAGTATTTGCCATTTATTCTAAAATTTCTTCCCCTTTTAAATAGCCTATCTTAAAATTATTTAATATAGCCATAACCAGCATCTAAGTTAGCTTCTAGCTCATGCGGAATAGATCTTAATAATTTTTTCTTAACAGATTCTAATTTTTATGGTAGTTTATAGTAGAACTGATCCAAATGATATTTTAATTAATAATTGGGTTACTATTTCTCATTCTAGTTTATATTATATATTAATTTTTTGTTGGAGTTTTTACTCTCAGACTTTCTCTTCTTTTTTTAATAAATACCTTCTTTATCTCCAAAATCAATTAATGCTATTTATTAATGATTTTAATAGTTCAATTAGATTTATTCATATATTAATTGTAAATATATTTAGTTAAAAATTTTCCTTTAATAGTTTAAAATGACTCGCAATTACAAAATAAATAGGTTAGGAAAGATTTTAACTATAATTAACTATAATAATTTGATAATGGAAAAATCTTTACTTTAGTTAATTATAATTATATATTTGTTTATTTAATCAATTATTAAAGTCTAGCACAATACGATTTGTAATTTTAAATTTGTTTTAAAAACTGAGATTTATGAATTATTTTATTTAGTTCTAATCAATGAGTTATATTAACAAATAATTATTGTATTAAGCTTGAATCTTTGAATGAAAAGAAAATATTTATAATTGTTTTCATATCAATAAATACTGATTATTATTTAATATTTTCTAATGGGAACTCAACACTCTTCACCAATAAAATTTGCTTGTGTATCCTGTTAATCGAATGATAATGAATTTGCTGTAATACCAAATATGATATAATAGGGAGTCGATTGGAAAAAGCATCTCCAAAGGGAATGTGAATCAATAAAAGATCGATGTAAATGGGCAAAATATTTTTTATCATAAATTTATAGTGGATTAAAATCTCAGCCAATTGAAGGCTATATAATCTAATTTTAATCAGCCAATCAATAGTACAAGAGTATGATATCTAAAATATTCTTAGGTTAGTTTCTTAAAAATTCGCGAAAAAGTCAAAGTTATTCTAGCAATCCAAATTTATCAATTAAGCAGAGTTCAGAAACATCTATCAAGCAATTAATTTTAAACACTGATTTAACCATATAATAACTAGAAATTCAAACTAATACTATTTTGAATAAATAAGAAGCATCTGTGTCCTTATAAATAATTGATAAAAAAAAAATTAGTGAAAGCTTTGACAAAGAAGACGAATTACTGATTTCTCAATTATCATACTATGTAGACATGATTAAATTGTTAAAGCAATAGATAAGCAATTAGGATCATCAACTAAATGTGATTCTACATTTTTTTATTGATTCATTTAAAAGACAATATAATATGGATCGTTGTTCAAAGCAATTAGATCATGCTGTTACAGATTTAAAAGAATTTTCAAGAGTGTTTCAATCTTGTATTTAAAATTACTATTCAATTGAAAAAACTTAAATGTCTACAGGGCCTGTTACCGATCTATTCAATAGAGAAACTATGTTAACTGCTATTTATTCTATGTTGTTTTAAAAAGAAATTACATATTAAATCATTTATGATATGATTTTGGAATACCTTAGAAAAGATATTGATAAATTAAAAACCAATATAGAAAAGTGTTATAATCATGAAATAGACTTTTATGAGATTAATGTGAAATATAGACTTAATAAATCTACGCATTCGTATTTACTAAAAAAATATTCGAATTGTGAAATTAATTATAGAGAAGGAATTCCTTATCATAAATGCTTTAAACTTTTAGCTTAAATAAAAGAGAAATAATCTCCTTAATAAAAACTCAAAGCCTTAATCTATTGTTTAGAGAAGATTATTAAATAGATTAAACATTTCTACAATATGTATGGTTGCGAATATGATTTTCAAATTGAATCGGCTGATCTTATCTCAATATATATGTACATAATAATCAAATCTCAGCTTTTTGATTTATAAGTTCATCTGTATTTCATTGAACATTTTATTAATACCAATCAAATTAATTATGGCCCTTATGGCTATTACTTAACTTCAATAAATGCAGCCATAAGAATGATTTTATTATAATAAAATTGAATATTATTATTATTATTTTTCTAAATTATCAAATGGAATAAATGAAACTGTAAATAAAAGCCACAGATATGGATGAGGACTTTATAAAAAAAGTGACCGAAATCACATATTCAGCAATGCAACAATTTAGAACAGAAAAATAAATAGCTCATCATATTAAATATGAATTTGATAAATTTGATTAATTTGGATGGAATTGCATTGTTGGAAGGAATTTTGGAAGTCATGTGATTCATTAAACAAAGAAATACATCTTTTATTAACACAAAGAATTATATTTCTTGCTTTGGAAAGCATGAGTAATAACATGTATGCATTTTAACAATAATATATAAATTTAGAAAATAATACACTATTATACATAATAACTCTTCATTATTCAAAATTTAGAGCTTACAGCCCTTGTTCTCATTTATATCATTAAAGTCAAAGTTTAGATATGAAAGTGTCGTCATTTAATTATAATATAAACTAAATAATTTAATAAGTCTTTCGTTGAATAGATAAATCAACTGAATTTTATTTTATGTAAATTCCAAATTGGGGATACCAAATATTTTTCAATTTTGATATTAATCTTGAATCGTCTCATTAATATTCATTTACAATATATTGAATTAGTACCTTAAGTAGTAATATTATTATCAAAAATTGGCATTTCTATATATAAATCATTATAAAAAATAAAAATTATTAAGTTCTTATAGTTTGAGAATGGGTTCTATATGTAAACAAGGTTAAAAATCTTCGAATGAAAAGGAAATCTAAAGTGAAATTTAGTTAACTCATTCTAAAGAATAATATGAGGCAAGACATAATAGTGTTAGCAACTAATATAATTGTTAAAGCACAAGGTAATTAACATTTCGAAATGATTTTGCCTCAAAATTTATTAGTTTGAGTTAATCATCTGATTCAGAACCAAATTAAGATAATGATCCTGGGGATAAAAGATCATTTTTCTCAAACTTTTAGACGTTTTAGGCAATGCCTTCTCAAAAATCCTCGAAATTAGTTTCTCCTCAATTCACATTTTTTGCAGATGAAAACTCAATTGAGAATTAGTTCCAAAAGAAACTATAAACTAGATAATTAGAGTGAGTTATAAGAATTTTGATGAGATTAAAACGATTTATGTATTTAAAATTTATTTGAAATTCAAAATATTAATCTTTTCAAGTATGGTCTTATTAAACTCACTAATGAAGTTAATTTAGAATAAAAAACTTTAAGTTAATTTAATAAATGAAATATAAAGAAGTATTGAGATTTTCTGAAGACCTTGTAGTATTGGCTGAAATTATTTTCTATAGATGGGGTATCACAATTATTAAGAGATAGAGGAAACTTCCTCATTATTAGTAATATATTTTCTTAGTTTTATACTTGGAAGCACTTTATATGGGATTTCCTCCTTTTAACATAGAATCTCAAATTTCACATAAATAATTCTGTTTTATATGGGTTATTTAATCAAAGGGATTTCGGTTTGGAGTCCTACTTAAGAAAAAATTTCCATCTCATTAAATGTTCATCTAATAATTCAATTTCATTTTTCAAAAGAACAAAGTATATAGCAAAGAAGTATGTCTTATTATGCCTTTTTCTTAATTTGCATTAATACTTTTAATTACATCACTGTAACAACTGATAGCTACTTTATATTCTGCCTTGATATAATTTTAGTAGTTTTAGATGCCAAACACCTCTCCTTAATTTTAGATAAAAAGGCTAAAAGATCCTAATACTATTAACTAAATAGTACACTTAATACTACAAAAAATTAGTAAAAGTTAGGGTATAAATTTCAATTTGAATTACCTTCAGTAAAAAGTCCAAAGGCTCCATTTAATTTATATGATCGATTTTCAACCAAGAAACTAACATTTAATACTAAAATGGATATTTTTGAATCTACAATAAGGCTGGAAGATTATTTAAAAAAAGTATTGAGAATGAACAGCAGAAAAGAGATGTTATAATTTAAGAATATTTTTTTTAATTATCATTATTATACAAATATAATGATATTACACATAAAATTAAAATATCAGATTTTTTCTCTGATTATTATGAAGAATTATCAAACATATATTATTTTTCAATTGATGATAATGAGACACAGTTTTGTTAATTGAATAAATTAAAAATAGTGAAAGTGAAACATTGATTTAGTATTTATTTTTGGATGTTCCATAAAAATATTAAAGAAAATAAAGTAAAGTTAGAAAATAATTGTTTTTTGATATGTGTAAATAATTATCTCATTAACTTGGTACTTGTCTAAATTCTCTAATGACATTTAGCAATTCAGCTGCTGAAGATGAGGGAATTTCAGAATAGATTATATTTATCCTATTTTAATAAATAGTGTCTAATTTAATTTAATTATTAATAATGTTAGAGATTTTACTCATTTAGGATTAAAAATATTTCAGCTTAAATTAGAAGAGATGTATATCATCTAAACAGTAGAATTTATTAATTCTTTATTTGAAGAACCGCTTCAAAGTAAAGGAATAGAATTATCTGTTTAATATCATTTAAAAAATGGATTTTTAATTACTGATAAGGGAAGATTTGAATAAATTTATTTTTAGTTGTTATAAAATTCAGTTAAATTCACTTTATCAGGATAAATAAGATTTAATATTTATAATAATGCAGATAGATTTATTTTATCGATCGAAGATACTGGTATTGGTTTAAGTGAAAAAGATGAACATAATCTCAATTATTTGTTGGATTAAGATGAATTTATTAAAGTTTCAGATAGTTAAATTGGTTCTGGTATGGAATTAGTTATTTCTAATATGATTGTCAAATAACTAAATAGAGGAGTACCTATTAAGTTTAAAAGATTGTTGATAGGTTCATAATTTTATTTTGAATTGCCCAATGATATTTAGGAAATCTATATTTCTAATTAAAAGGCTTTAATAGAAAATTCTTAAGGTTCATAATCTATCAAATTGTTATCATAAAATTCATATATAGAAGGACCACTAGGATAATAATCTCATGTTATATCTTAAAAGTTATCTTCCCAAAAGTATCATTCAAAAAAAAGAGAAAAGAAACTAAATCCTTTTCTGTTGTTCATCATTTTGAGGATGAAATTGAAAGTGATGTTTAGAGTGAATCACATAAAAATATTATTCAATTTTTACCATTTTTTTCAACAAAATAAAATAAAGATAGGTTAGAATATTGTTTATAAAGTGAGTGTTGCTCTGGAGCTATTGTTGATGATGAATACTTCAATATAAGTTGTTTAAAATTAATTATGCAAAAATATGTAGTAAAATGCGACCATGCATTTAATGGTTAAGATTCTATAGCTTTAATTAAAAATAAAAAGGAAAATCCTTGCTAACATTGTCATAATTAATATTATTTACTAATATTTTTGGAGATAAATATGCCTATAATGGATGGATTTCAAACAATCAAAATTATTAAAGCTTAAATGAAAACAGAAGAAATCAAAAAGGTTTATTGTATAGCTATTCCAGGATTATCCGACCTCTAAACTAAATAAAAATGCTATGAAAATGGAATGGATTATTTTATGAATAAACCTATAAACTAAAATTTGCTTAAAGAAATTCTTTTAACATTTTTTCCAACTTTAGAAATTAAAGTTATTTGAATTTCATTTCATGATCAAATATTTTGAATTATCAATTTTGAAAAATGTTTTCACACTATTTATAAAATATATTAATTTAGATCATACTTCTTTTTAACTTTTCTTTTTGTCTAATTATTTTTAAATTGGATAGAAAAAATTAAAAAATAGATTATCAAAAATGTGATACAAATTAATTCTGATAATAGACAATATATAATATAATCTAGCCAACTTCAATAAGAAAATATATAAAATACATATAATTTAAATAGTATATGGAATACTCTTATAAACAACATCAATATCCATTAATTCAATTGATAATAATAATTAAAATTATTTTAATTTAAAAATTGTTAATTCGCCAAAAAACATATATTCATTAATAAAAAAGGACTACTTCATTGAAATCTTTGATCATTATGTTAAATAAAATAATTAGACTATTGTAATTCAAAAAAAAAAAAATAAGTAAATCTTTTATTTTGATTACAAATATATAATTTTGAAAATTATTAACTATGAGATAAAAATACTTTTAAATATATTTTTACAAAAACCTGTTTAATGATACTAAACCTCTAAGTTGTTAAAATTTAAATGCTATATGGATAGATGATCAGATAGTCATGAATTTCCTCTCAGATTATTTATCTTAAAAACAATTTTTGCTAAATGCCTACTATCCCAAAAAAATCAAAATCTCTAAAAGAATGTTGTAGATTTTTTCTAGGTAATTCCTCAGAACAAATAATTGTATATTGATAAATAGAAATATGAAACAGGAACAAAGAAATATACAATACAATATGTAATATAAAATTATTTATTATATAAAAATTACAGCAGATTTCACAATAATTTTTTTATTAAATATCGGGAAATATGGCGAAGGAAAGAATAAAAAAGGATTCAGAAGAAATAAACAATTATAAGCATAATGGTGACGATTTCATTGTAGATATATATGAAATAGGAAATTATTAAATACAAATATGTATCAAAGGTCCAGATGATTCACCCTATAAATCTTACCTATTTTTCCTTAATTTTTAGTTCTCGAATGAATATCCTTAAATTCCTCCATAAGTCACATTCATGAATAAAATTTTCCATCCAAACATCAATATTTTAGGTTATATTTATTTAAGTATCCTAAAGGATGATTGGAGGAGTGATTATACAATATACACAAGTAAGAAATTGTCAAGATTTTAGTTTTGATGAAAATAAAATAACTATTAAAAGAGCCAGATGCAGATAATTCATTTTTTCCAGAAGCTACTTCTCTTTATTTAAAAAAGAAGTTAGAATAGAATTTTGAATTCGAAAAAAAGGCAAAGGACTGGGCTTAGAAATATGCTATTTTTAATTGATTCTAATTATTGCTTATATTTTAATTTATAATGCTATTCGTTTAGAATGGTTGTATTTTAGAACTAATTTAATTATTAATTAAGTTTATTGCCAATGAATTGGTTAGAGTAATTTTTTAATACAAAGATTTTAATAGGTCTTGGAGTAGGTGTTCTAACAGCCTCCTTATCTCTAATTCCTACACTAAAAGAACAAAATAAAGATAATTCATAAAATTAAAAAATGAAATTATCCACAAAATCATTGCCATCAATATAGGATCTCAAAAAAGTTTATATAAAAAAGAATGAAAAATAATATTTGAATAGAGATTCCACATCAAATGATAGAAAAAAGAATAATAAGAATTCTCTTAAAACAGAAACCAATTAATAAGATTTTTATTTTAACTTTGATGATGTTATTAGGAAAAAAAGAAAATTGTAAGAATCTGATAAATTGTCATCTCATAAGAACCATTTATTCTCAAAGAAATTTAATGATAATACAGGCTTGTAAAACATGATTTAATAAAATAACAGTAAATATTAAATATTAGATAGTAAAAAATTAGAATGAAGCTGATTAATATTCTAAAAATAAATAAGAACTTCATTAATTTTTAGTTTCATAAAGATTTGAATAAATCTAAGAGAATGTTTCAGATACTTAGGAGTAATATATATAAGATCCTATAATTCCAGAATAAAATGGAGAGAGATAGGGAGAGAAATGTATATGAGTATAATTCAAATGAAGCAATTTTTCGATTTCAATATTTAAGAATATCTTTTTAAATATCTTACTTTTAATTTAATTAAAAAAGAAGTAAGGTTGTTATTGCATTACATATTAATTGTTAAATGTTATAAAGCTTTAGGATTATGATAAAAAATAAATATGATATATTCACATTTAATTTCATTTTTATTCTACATTTGATTCTAACTTTTAAATCATTAAATTTAAGGAATAGGCTTTTTTTTTATATGATCCTTTTAAAATGTTTTGGTTGTTCAAATCATACAAAAACTTTTCTAATTCATCCTAACATCATTGAATTTATTTATTAATACCATAAGAATATTATCTTTTTCTATAAAGATATCAGCAACAGCTTTAAATTCTCCTATATTAATTACATGTTCTTTTTCTATGGCTATTAAATTCCATACAAATACTATTAATAAATATTGTATAACCACTTACAACGAATGGATTCTATGATACACAGAATTAGTAATAGGTTTTTATTTTAGATGATAATACAAAGTTGGTAAAATAGACAGATTCTTCCAAAAATATTAAAGAATATTGAGAAGTAATAAAAATTTTTATTATAACCCAAAATTTATCTTAAAAGACCTAATATATTAAGATAATTATTTTACAATTTTATGATAATTTATTTAATAAATCCCAATCATATTTAATATCAACATAGGATACAATAAAACCACAAATAATGATTAAAATATTTAGAATGTAATTGGGTAGATAAGTTAATAAAATATTGATTTAACAAATTACCATTAATGTGAACATTGATGTAAATTTTATTAAATTGAGATAAGATTTTTTATCTTTAATATAAACTCTAATAGAATAATAGAAACCATAAATAAATGGTACAATAAGAACACTTTAAGTTAAATAATTGAATTCTGTAAATTAGGTTTAATTTTAAAAATAACAAAAATAATAGTGAATTGTATATGAAAACAATCTAAAAAACTGACTACAACTCACCTACAGAATAATTAAATTAATACCATTTATTCAACATTCCATAATATCTCTTTACTTAAATATAAGCCTCCTAATGTTTTAATTTGTAAAATCCAAAAATATTTTCTGGCTTGATATCCAAAAATCCTAAATGGATTTATCATAAATAGTATTAAGAATATCCATAATATAAATAATGCATATATTGGATCGAAATCAACAAAACTAAATATGTGATAATAAATTAAATGATTGCTTATTGCATAAAATTACAATTCAGAAATCAATCCATAATTAACTATTAATAAGAAGATTATTGTTATGACAGCAGCTAAATAATAAAATTTAGATATTGAATCTCTTATATAATCTATCTTAAAGATTACCCAATAATTAATGTATTTTTTTTTAAATATCTACAATTAAGTAGAAAAAAACCATAAATAAAATAACGGAATTGCCATAGTTATAAATAATAAATATGTTGAATAGTCTTCTGAAATGCTCAAATAATTAAGATCTATTCTTTAATAAATGAAAGATAATATAAGAAAAATAATGATTCCACCAAGAAATCCAATATATTATAGTTTATGTTATATTGCATATGATTGTTTTAACTTTATTAATTCATTACCATCCCATCCATTTATTAAATAGATTGCTTTAATATTTTTAATTATTTTATTTAATGAGGTATCATTGACAAATTATAAATTCTTAAAGTAATGATTCATATGACTTTCTGAATTATCAATAAAACTTGTATATTGATGATATAATTATAAAATTCTATTTGAAGCTTCAATATTAGAATTTTTGAATGATTTAAGTAGTTAACCTTTTTTATAAAGTATTTCTAAATTTTTTATTCTTTCTAAGTCATCTTCAGAATCTATCATTTTTTCATATTGATATTACAATATTTTAACTTAAATATTATAAAATTAATTGCATTTATTAGTTTCATCTTAGAATAATTAAATAAATTCTTCGTCTAATAGCTATAATTTAGTTTATATTTCTTATGGAATATTAGCATCTAAATTTTAATCTTTGATAAGTTTAATGGTTAAATTAAGGATAGGTAGAGAATTAGTGACTCTTTTAAAAGGATCTAAGACTTCTTTTAAGAATTGATAATTCAAATACGCATTTGACCATTCTGGAACTTATTGAGAAATAAAGTGTTACATAAAACTCATTGATTTAATTATTTTTATAATTAATGATAATTTTTATTATAAATATTACTATAATCTCTTTAATTTTTAAAGTCTATAATCTACTCCTTAAAATCTTTTATTAAATTCATAAAAATAAACATAAATATAATTTCAAATTACTTTGTCCTTTCTTAATTTTGTAGCTATAAGTTCAAATAAACATAATTCATCTCCTAAACTTTCTTCAACAATAATATTCCTATCTTCCTTTTCTTTCAATTCAAGAAGATGCATTTATTTAGGATCCAATGAACTACCATCCTCAAATCGTACTAAAATGTTCTTTTTTCTTATATACGGTTTTTAATGTTCTTTAAGTAAATATCTAGCAAATTCTGTCATCAATTTAGAAGACTTTCTTATAATTTTTTAATAGTATAAATTACTTGTTCACAAAAGCATACTAATAAATTGAATAGGCACGCTTTATTTAATAAGCATGTAGTTTTGTTTTCTTCATAATTTCAAATAATTTATCTTTTGGCATATCTCCTATTTCTTATATTGAATTAATTATCTATTATATATTTATTTATTACTTTATTTGGGAGAATATCTTTAAAATGTTCATGCAAGATTTTAGAGTCAGTAATATCTCTCATCACTTAAAAATCTTCAGATGGATCTTCTAATGTAATCTATAAACACTTATCATCTTCCAATCCTAATTTATATACAGTTTTTAGCATTCTACTTCCATGACCTTTTCTTTGATATTATGGTAAGAATAGCATTTAACTTAAACGATGTCTCTATTTATTCCATCCAATATTAAACTTAAAAACAGTTGTCAATCCTATAAATACACGTTTTTCATATAATGTTAAATAAACCCATTCATTTTCATCCCCTGGATATTATACTCCATCAATTAAAACTAAAAGAAATGCTTATAAAAAAGGTTTGAATTAAACAAACCCATTTGTAGTTGCCATTTAACATTTATATATTTTAAAATCTCCATATTCTTCAATTAAATCTCCTAAAGGCTCTTGATTTTATTCTTCTTCAAGTGCTTAAATGAACTATTCTTCGCTAGAAAGGAAACCAGCTTCATATACTTTATTGAAACTCTCATTTAAATCATCAGCATCTTCAGTTTGCTCGCTATAAGATATCTATAATAAAATATTTTGAACGAATTTACTTTAATATAAGGCTTCAATCCAAGTGCTGTTACATGAATAGTAATCTTAAGATCCTTATATCCATATATTTCATTAGTAGATCTAAATACTTGATGAACATAACTGGGTTAAAACTTTAATCCTTAATCTGCTTTATATTATTCCACTGTTTCCACTAGAATATATGTGATTGCCAAAGAGCCATTAGTAATAAATGGATCATCTTCTCTTTAAATTTCTGGTGGTTTCTCTAGATATTTGAGAGCATTCATTCTTAAGTATTAACCTTATTCTTCATCAAATAGGTTTGCCATACTATATATGAATATATATTAATATTATATATATATATTTAGGCGCCAATTAATATAATAATAAACTAGTTGATTAGAAATTAGTTTTAACTTGTAAAATCAATTGAAAAATTATATATTTTCAATAAGCAGCTGTGATTTTAAAAAGAATTGATATGAAATAATAATATAATTATTAATTGTAAACATTATAATCTTAATAAATAATTATATTTTCTTTAAATTGACTCAATTGTTTTTTAATTCCCATTTATATTCATTATTATTAAAATTTAATGGAGAAATTAGGCAACCTATTTGAATTCTTTGTGACAACAGGGATCAAGACTAATGATTAAGGTAATCATAAATAATGAACCTATTTGTAGATGTGATACTTTAATCATGTACTACTGCAAATAAGAAAGATCTTGCTATACTTACAATATTTCCTAATCCAGTGGAACGAAAGATGAATCATGTTTTAGCAGACATTGCTTTGGTAAGATTCATAAAAATTATTATCATTTAGTGGTGCTTTCCTTTGGGAGTAAAAACAATAAAAGAAGGTGATAGTAGATTTAATAAAATAGAAGAATATTTTAAGGAAGATGATGTTTAAGCATCTACAAATGAGATCAATTACTTTGTTATCAATGATTTTAAATAGCACATCAAGTTTTATTGTACATCTGCTTGCTTTTATGAAAAGATGTTCATAATTATGCCACCAAATGATAAATTAATGTAAGTATTTGTACCTAAGGCTTTCTGTGTAATATCTCGTTTTCCTGCATTCATTCCTTAAAGAAGTTTTGTGATGCAATTACTTAAAATCTAAAAATTACGTCTTTCATAAAATAGGGAAAGAGATAAAATAATAACTATAAAAAGAGGTTAATAAGAATATTAGATTGAAGAAATCAAACTCTATGATTTTTATATTAGAACAGCATTGACTTAATGTCCAATAGTATAAGATAAGTATTTATATATCAATAATTAGCAAGCGTAGAGTATAGGTTAAAGTTCAGCAGTTCTGAGATCTGGATGAATTATTATGTCTCCAACTCACATTTAACAACTCACTTTTCTATTTTTAAATTGTCAAATAATCTTTTTGATGTTTTAATTTTCAATTAACCAATCTTTAATTTGTACAAATTACTTTTATACATGATGCTTGAATATCAAATTATAATAGTATCTCGTAAACCTGCAGGAATAACATTATTTTGTCAATCATTAGTAGAGTTACTAGCTCCTTTATAATGGCGTGGTCTATTTATTCCATTTCTAAGACCTGGATCATTTGATTTTCATAAATCTCAATTACCCTATATTATTGGTTTAGATAGAAATTTATATGAAATAGTAATTTAATTAATTTAAATTAGTCTGAAAAACCATTACCAAAAGAATTAAAAAGAGTTATTTATGATATTGATGATGGTCGTATTCTATCAAGATCAGATGATCCAAAATGTCCAAAATAATATTAAAATTATTTCATTCGAAAAATGAATACTGTATTTGCAGATCTTAAATTTTATGAGAATGTAAAAATATATATAATAAAATAGGAAATTTTTGAAGAAGGTATAATGAAATATAGATAAGCATTTTATAATGTTAAATTGCTTATGTTAAATGATATATATAAGTATTTTAGTACTGATACATCAAATTAGAAATCAGAGAAAAAGATTGTTATGTTTGATTATAAGAAATTTTTAAATTCTTTTGAAAATTAAGATTAACTGTTTTTCTTGTAATTTCTAAAAACTTTATCATTTTAATAATTTGTAAAAGATCTCTATAAAGTTATGGAATATAGAGAAGAATTCATTAAAAATAATATTTAAAATGTAGAATACTATTTTAGTAGTGTATTACAATTCTTTGATGATGTAAGATTTCTAAGTATTCGTTTTGGAGAATAAACACTTGATGATAAATTAGTTATACTAGAAAATCTATAGAATAATTATATCAAGGCAGTTCTTGAAAGGAAAAATGAATCCAGCAATTATAAAGTTATAGAAATGAAAACAACTGATTTCATTCCAGAATATTTAGAACATCTCAAAAATAGTAGTCTAAATCTTAGTATGGAAATGTAAGCTTTAGCTAAATTTATTTAAACAGCTCCCTAATAGGAAGAAATTGTTGTTGAATAATAAAAAATAATTTAACAAGGTGGACCAGATATGAATCAATCAGAAGAATAAGATAATATCTCATAAGAATCTTCTAAAATTCAATCAGATAAATCAGATTAACATAGTTAATTTCATCATTCAGTTCCTCCATAAGAAAAAATTAATTGGGAATTATAAACTATAGCTGTAAGCAATGCTTCAGAATATAGAAAATAATATTAAATAAAACATCTAAATCTTATAAATAAAAGGAATACATTTAGAAAAAAAAATCTATTAGAAAATGAAGAAGAGGAAGAATAAATGCAATTAAATTAAAATACAAATACAAATAATTTTATTGTTACAAATATTGCAGATAAAAATATGCTTAGTTTGCCTATTAAAGACAATTAATCAATGGCAGCTAGATCTTATTTTAATAAAAGTATGGTCCCATTAATTGGAGATTATGGAAATGCAGAGATTATGGTTCCTAATTAAGATAACATGATTTGAATATAATTTATAGTATATCATTAAAAATATGTGAAAATCCTTTTTGTTAATGTACAAATTTAGGTAAATACATAAAACTAAATCATTCATAATTAAAAGAAACATTCATATACATCCTAGCCGATCAATTCTTCTACTTATTGAATTCCATCATCACCATCTATTTATTCTTATGTTCCATAAACTTAAACACTAATTGAACCTTACATTGTTAAATTTTGACATTCTTTTAATTTTTAAGGAAATGCTTCATCTAAATATCTTATTACATCTTAGATTTCTGTAAAAGCATAATTTTTATTTACTATTTTATCCCAAATAAATTATCCTTCCTCTTAAAGAGTTTTAAATTTAATTTCATTTGATAATTTATTTATTGTTTAAGATTTTTAATCTAAGATTTCTTCATCTAATAATGTATTTAAATAAATGTTAGCCTATTTTAAAAATTGATCTATTTATTCTTTTCCTTTTTAAGGATTTACTCCCTATAAATATATTTAAAGACCATCAGCACATCCTAATGGTTTTCTTTTAATCATAACTTATTATGCCATAGGAAAATAATTATTTGCATATACTTATAAGAAATCAGCATAAAAATATAATTTAGCAGTATTTTCTAAATTCTTCAAACCTGTTTAATAATAATTTAAGACAGAAGACATATTATCTATATTTGATTCCCTTTTTACTTTATATTTTAGATTTTATCCTTTTAAATTTAATGTTCTAGTAATGTACATTTCTTAAGAATCTTCAAATACACTATCACTAGGTAATATATTTCCCAAATTGAGTATTTAAATTTTACTAGCTAATAATTCTGCTTAAAACATTTAAAATTTTTGATAATCTATTTTAATTAATTGATCTATTATTTCTTAAGGAGAACTTACAGGTCTAAGTAAAATTTTTGGCAAATAATATTATTAACTTAATAATGATAATTTTTGATCATGAAATCTTTTAATATCTTAGTTTAACAAATCTTTGACATAAATAAATAATTGTTCATCATCTGTACTCATTAAATCAAATACTTTATCTTAAAATTCTGATTATTTCTCAGAATAACTTAACATTTATATATTAAGTCCATTTATAGTTTCCTTAAAAGTTAATTCATAACCAAATAGAATTTCTTATTAAAATTATTTTTTTGATAATTCAGTGTAAAATTTTTACAATAATTTTAACATAGTTTTTCCTTCTACTAAAGAAGATTCTGGTTTTTCTATAAATAATCCAGTAAACACCATAGCACCTAATCTACTTGGTTTCCACCATACATTAGTTTATATTTAGAATGGTACTAAAGACATTTAAGCAGCTTTTTCTTATTCAATACAATTATTTGTTAAATTAGGCATAGGAAATTCACATTTAAATTCTATAGTTTCAAATTTAATTATTTATGATCCATCATATTTCCCATCTTTTACAGAATTAATTATATCATCTAATTATGTTTAACTTTATTATTATGTATTGTATTATATTGGTTCTTGACAAACAGACACTAATGCCAAATTCTCAGGTAAAAATGTACTTAATGGAGGTAATTAAAATTAATATTAATTAGTTTCATCAAATTATTTTGTTACAGGTTTTAAATCATATTAAAATTCTTAATGAAGTTTATTTAATACAGCATCTACAATAAATATAGAATCATCATTAATTGATTTATGATTTGGATCATATTAAAAGTTATCACTACCTATCAAAATGATAAAATTATTCTATAAATTAGTTAAATATTAATCAAATTCATCTTTATCAAAAATAGGAAAACTTTCTTCTCCTTTTAATCCATATATTGGATCTTTGAATAGATTTTAACTAATTTTTGTTAAATCATCTTAATATTTTGTATTAAACAATAATTCTTCAGTAGCCAACATTTAGGAATATAAATATGTTAATTAAGTTTCATCTGCTTATTATAAGAAGTTGAGAAATGATATAAATTTATTAATAGTATTTAAAGCATTATTGATATCTATATCTAATGTGATAGATAATTAATTATCTTAGATTGAACCAATAAATGGTTTTGGTAATAAATATGATAAAAATCTTTAACAACTCAATTCATCATTTATTGATAATATTTATAATAGATCTGTATCACTTTTAAATTTAAGAATTTATCTACCTTATGGATAGTTATTTTCATATATTGGATCATGATATTTATGTAAATTTTTCATTTTCATTAAATCAGATTATAATAATCTTGATTAAATATTTTCATATTCTTCTTGACTTTTAAATACAAAAGTAATAGAATCTGAAGAGATATGTTAATTATAAAATTATTATATTTAATCTTATTCAACAGATAAAATTGATAATTCTTTTAAATTTGTTAATGTATTTAAAAATTGAGATACATATTAAAAATGAGCAGATTTAGATTCATTCATCATTGAATCATAGACTTCCTTAGCATTTTTAACTATATCAATAAACATTGGTTAAGTAAATATAATAAATAATTCTTTTAATTTTGCATTTAATTCTTCTAATAGGTTTAATTAGATTGTTAAAAAAGTATATTATTCATGAACATCAATTTAAAAATTAGTTTATAGACATCTAAACATTAATTCAGTCAATCCTGGATATTCTTCAGGATCATTCATTCTACCAACATTTAAGGATACTACAAAATTAATACCTTCAGTTGTAGATTAGATATATAAAATCTTTAATCCATTTTATAATTCTTTATATGTATAAATATTCTTTGAAAAGACTGGTTTAATTATTTATATTTCTGCTTCTTATGATATAATTAATTCTTCTAAATCATCAACAATATTTAATTATTATTCCAATTATTATTCAATTTATTCTTATCTATTTATTGTATCATTATTGTTATTATTAATTTAGATATCATCATCATCTATCCAATCTGTACGTATATCAGTATATTATTCAATTTTAGATAAATAATTATCTAATACTTCATCTAAAGTTTATTCATCTTCTTTTGGTATTTACTTTTCAACCTTTTCTTAACCTAAATTTTAAAGTCCTTCACTTATTTTATTAAAAACATCTTAAACTACTGATTCTTTTGGATGAACTAATTATGGAGTAACACGTACATTATTTTCTATTGGTTTATCAGGTATCACAACTAATGCATAGAACCATCATTCATTACCATTGTAATGTTTTAACAATCCAAATCCAGATAATCCAATCATTAATAATAGAATCAAAATTACTATAGCATCGAATTTAGATGGACCTGATTAATCTGGTTTTTGTATTGGATTATCATATCCAGCCCAATTTGAACTTGATGAAAATCTTTGAATTTATGGATATTATTCGTTTGTATTCTCATTACCTAATAAATTTTAGCCTTCTTCATCTTATTATGGTATTTAACTCATTTATTAATTAAAAAAAGATAAGAATATATTTTTATAAATAAATTCTTTAAAATTATCATATGTTATTTCAAATCTCTCAACTTTTGATAAATATTAAATTATTTATAAGAATATCAGCATTCAATATATATTTATTCTTAATTTTTTCAATATATCTATATATATATCATTCTCATTTTAATTGAATGATTTTAGCAGTGCGATCACTACTTGTCGTTACAATTTGATTACCATTAACAGAGATACTCGTAATGGAATTAGCATGTACTTGATGTTATGCAAAAATCTTCTAATTTTCTTATATCATTAACTATCCATTTGTTGTCCCTAATATCAATTTATTTTTGAATGCACCAATACAGCTAATTTCATTATCGAAAGTAGAGATTGAGACAATTTAATCTTGGAAAAATAGTTTAAGTTCTCTTTATGAAACACAATATATTTTCTTGTTCATTATTTAAATTTTGGAGATTTCGTTTGAAAATACTATGATATAATAAGATATATATACTTCTAACTCGTTTTTGAAGCTTTAATTTATAAGTTAAGAAATTCAAATATCCATCTTTATCTCCTAGCCAAATACCATCATCAGCAGCCATTACACTTGTAATGCTGCTGATGTGTTCATATTTGGATTTCTATTACGTCAACATATTCCAAAGACATAAAAATCGTTATTATTAAATTGTATTATGCATGAATAGACAAGTTTTCAAATAAAAATCGCAAACAAAATAGGGACTATCTTGTTAATCTATTTATTCAATCTTTCTATCTTCATTTATTTGTAATAAATGATTTTTACTAGTAAAGCATAAATATTTATCACCTGTGATCTTAATAAGACCTTTATAATCAATTTATTTATTACCGACACAAAAGGTGTTAATTTTAACATCTTCTTCGTTTTTTCTCTTAAATAAGACATTTCCTCCCCATTAAGCAATCACAAGTTCGTTTTAATTATATGATCCTCCTATTAATTACTTTGAATTATTATAGGTTTCAATGATTTCCATTTGTTATTAAATATATCCATTTGCCACATAAACGCACACTTTATAACAATATAATTAATCCGTATTAATAAGTGCTTGATAAAAATGACAATATGCATTCAATTTCAATTTCATCTATTATGGCTCATGAATCACAAAAATATTAAATATTATAAATCATAAATTATATATAAAATGGTCAAAAATATTCTTGGATATTTTATACTAAATGAGTGATATATATGTATATATTAAAAATAAACTTGATATTTTATTATGATGTAAATATATAAATTAAAACAAATATATATATGCTCATCATTTCTGATTTTTAATGAATTGCAAATAACCTTTATTGTTTTAACTTAACAAGTACTTAATTTTCCTAATCAAACCTAAGTTGGCTAAATTATTCTTTAATTTATTTCTATATTCTCTCTATTTAATTTAATAACATAATATTTATACTTATTATCCTTCCATATCAGATTATAATTATTCTTATTCTGTCTATAATTAAGTAATCTTTTTTTTCAAATCACTTTATTAATTTGTTAACTTTTCTAAATCAATTGAAGATCTTTCAAATATTTATTTAATTTAATCACACTATATTAAATTAAATTATGATTTAATACTTCAGCCGATCTTTTATCAACATCTTTTTTAAGTTCATTTTTTTCAATATTAAATAATTCTTATCTTTCATTACTAACAGCTTCAATTTCTTCAGAACTTGATTCTAAAGCAAGTAATAATGTCTTTAATAATTAAGGAACTTCTTCAATCAAATGAGCATTTTCAGTAGCCAATAATGGCTTTAATGAAACTTTGAACATTAAATAATAAATATACATAACACTAAAGTATAAGGATTATCAATAACTACAGTATCTAAATCATTTCTAATATCATTGCACATTGATTTAAATTTATTTAATTCATCATTCTATTTATTATTAGCTAAGAATGCTGGTGATTCATTTAAATCTGGTTTCTTTGATAAAAAATGAGCTAATCCTTAAAAGTGTTATATAAATTAATTAATGACTTTGGAAGTTTGATTAATTTCCTTTTTTAAATTTTAGAGTTTATCAATCTATAATATAATTTATTTTAAACATACTTCATCATTACGAATAGCTTACATTTAAGGTACAAATTTATTTTCTTCTGTTAATAATCTTTTTCTTTCTTCATATATTTTTTCTGAAAATTCTTTTTCTTTTGTTACAATTGTAAGTTCTTCACCAACATTCTATAATTAATATTTTGATAAAAAGATCTTTTATTTCAATGCTTATTTTCTCTCAATATCTATTTTATAAATTTTGAAAATTCATACTGCTTGTATATACAGTCTAATACTCTTTCATTGTCTTTTCACTATCCATTACAAGCTCAGATTCAAAATGATTTAAATTAATTATCAAATCGACAGGGTCTTGATAATTATTTATATAAAATACTTGAACTAGATTTCAGAACTAGCTATTATTCTTTTAATACTTTTTTCCCATAATCACTTTGAGTCAAGAATTCGAAATCTTTAACAGAATCAGTAGCAAATGTGTATATGCACAAATATGTTAACAATACAATTCGTTTCATCCGTTTTTAATTTATATTTCATTAATATGTGCAGAAATTATCTGCATTCAAAACTTTTGATTCCTACAAAGAATCAATTTCAATCCTTATTCATCAATAGATTGTAATCTTGATCATTAATGTAGAATACAAAACTGTCAAGTTTTTTAAAAATCCCCCAATTATCATTTAATAATATAAAAAGTAAATATGGAAAATTCATTTTGAAAAAACTCCATTTTCCCAATATCCCTCTATCACTTTATCTTTCGTTTCTAATTTACCATATCCATGATACACTCCATCATACCATTCTCCAGTATATTCTTTATCAGATGAAGTAAACTTTCCAAATCCTTGCTTTCTACCCATATAATAATTTCCCTCATACATTTTTCCATTTGGCCATACTAACTTTCCATATCCATGCATCTTTCCATCCTTAAATTCCCCTTCATAAATCTCACCATCTCCAAAATAATAAATACCTTATCCACTTATTTAATTTTCATCAAACTCTCCCTCATATCTTGAATCATCTTTATACCATAATATTTTCCCTTTACCATGCTTCAATCCATTTTAAAACTCTCCTTCATAAATATAATATTTGTTATAAATCTCAATTCCCTGTCCAGAAGGTAGATTTTCCTTCCATTATCCTTCATATTTCAATTAATTTGATATGTACTTTCCAAAACCATGTTGTTAATCATTTTTGAACTCTCCCTCATATAATTCCCCTTCTTAAAACTTTATTTTTCCTAAACCATTTGCCATATCATTTTTCCAACTCCCTTTAAAGTATGATCCATCATGATAAAAAAACTAACCATATCCTTCTCTTTTCCCATCAATTAATGTACCTTAATAAACACCGTTTGGGTATTCAAAAAATTCAGACACTAAATTTGATGGTGATTGGGCTTGTGAATCATGAATACTTTCATAATTCAATGTTCTTTTGCGATGTAATTTAACATTAAAAGGAACTTTTTTGACTGTGTCATGAAATTGTGATTTTGTACTGTTTAATGAATCAAGAGATTGAAGCTTTCTAAGATCAGATATAATAGGAAAATGGAGTTTTGGATCAAACTTGTAGACCAAGAATGAGTCAGAATCATCTTCAATTTGTACAGATTTCAACTCATTGTCATTGATTTCAACATGGTTACATTAATTTCCCATTATAAAAATAATATCAAATTTTAAACTAATCTTCTTATTCATTTGGTTCATCTTCATCTTCCATATAGTCATCATCCATAAAAGAACTTAAGTAGGAAGAAGCAGTGAACTAAATATGTTAAAAATTATTACTGAAGGAGTTTAGTCCATTGATAAAGCTTATTTAATGGATTCACTATCTTGGGACAATGTATTTTCATGTCCATTAACGTCACCATTATTTAAAACGACTGAATATGGGTTCTACTGACCCAAAAAGACTCTTCTAATGTAAGAATAAAATCTGTTTTTAACAGTATTTTCCTGATTAATAAAAATATATGCTTACTGGTCTTCCTTTCAATTATTTTGAAGCGATACTCCACTTAGCACCATGTTCTTTATAAACCTTCAAAATAATATCATCTTCTTCTTTAGTCCAAGCAGATGAATTAATTGAAGGATCTAATTTATTGAGATATCTTTCTCGTATTTGCTTTCCACTTTTACCTGGTAGATGTTTTGCTATTTCTGCCCAATTTTTATCGTATTTTTAGACAAGTTGAGTAATTTTTTAATCATCATCAAAAGTCCATTTCTTCTTATTATTCTTAAGATAAATAATAAGATATACTTCTTATGGATTCAATCTTCTCCATCTTTATGAACATTAATTCATATTTCTTCCTGGCAACTACTCTGCTATCTTTCTCCAATTTCCATTAAAATTTATGTACGCCTGTCTTAAAATAGCATCTTCATTCTTATCCCAAAGTTTTGCATGACTAACTTCTTTTCTTATAGAGTTATCATTTGCTGATCCTTTATTTGCTTTATCCTTTTGTTGTTTTTTATCTTTTTGGATTCGTTTTTTCTCAATTTTTCCTGTTTCAAGCGATATTTAGCTTTATGATCTAATAATGTATAGAGATTTATTATTACTTTATCATTGATTTTTTTGGGTACTCCTCTATTACATCCAATTATGTAGTTTAAGCAAGAGTTTGTATATTTTACCTAATGATTTCTTAATGATATCTTACTATGGATAAGGTCCAGACATTATTTATTAATCAGACCCCTGCTAACTTCCTGGATTACTTCCTTAATATGGACCATTATTAGAGGAAACTGATTTAGCTAAGATTGAGAACTGAGCTAGTTATCCTAAAACATCATTTTATCTTGAGAGTTCTAATGCTTCCCAGCTAGCCATTTTGTTGGATTTATTATCAGATAATGAGAGAAATCCTTCAACAGGTTCCACTCTTAATAATAATTGTCAACATACCTTCCATTTCAATTGATGTTTTTACTGCTCCCTTATTTATCATATTTTGGAAGTGGTTCTGCTATTGCGGCTACTACTATTACTGCCGCCTCTCTTAAGCTTCCTATATCTTCTGCCGTAACTCTTAAGATGTAGACTGTAGAGCTTTCTGCTCAACAGGTGATGGTACATATGCTTACCCTGTATCAAGTATTGGTTTGTTAGAATCTTCCTTTAAGCTTATAGGCTGATCTTGTGCTTCCTATTTCGGCCTTCTTGCACAACAGAAATTTAACCATAAGTCGACAAACATTTCTTTTTGTCAATTAAAAATATGTAATCAATTTTTGTAATTAAACTTATCACTACTTGGTTCTTCTCTTTAATATCAATATTCTATCTTATTAAAAAATAAATTCATTCATAATAATTCTCAAAAAATAAGACATAAGATATATCAATTAGATTATATTATTTTCCATTTGTTAATTGGAATAATCATCATTTTATAGTTATTAATTTTTGGATCAGAAATTATATTTAACATAACTTTCTAATTCTATTTATCAATATCTCATAAACTATATTGTTTAATTCCAGCACAATTATACTTATTAAATCTGATGTATATAATTCGTTTCAAATCTAGAAATGAACACAATTTACATTTTAATTAAAATAGAAAAAACTAAAAATTCCATATTCATGGCCACCCATAATATTTCAAAATTCAGACTAACCAAGACTATTCACAAAGACTAAATCAAATTACTAAAACAATAACTCAATAATAAAATTCAATAAGAATCCTAATCGAATAATTCACAATATATGTTAACTAATCTCACTCAGCAATTGTAAAAACTTAATTCTCAAATTCTTAATGTTAATTCCATATTTGATGAAATTAAATAATAAAAACCACTCAAATATAATTAATATGGAGCATTGTCTACACAAAATTTTGATTAATCACTAACTACAATCCTTCGAAAGTTACAATAATCAACTCCAAATCAATATCAAATAAAAAATAAGACTTAGAATTATAAAAAAGAAGTCTAACCCATAAACAATACTATTTAAACTAATGAAGGAACAATTAAAGTGGATTACTGATTTTGATTTCAAATTTCTTTTGATTTTTATATATTTTCCATTCATATAATTTTTAAATACTTAACTTAATTTATGAGTCAATATGTTCTTTCACAATCAATCTATATAAAATTGATTACATAAACTCATTTTTCTTCTTAGAATTTTGACAAATAGAATTGAAAAAATTACTTGAAAACAAATATTTTAATTTCTATCAAAAATTTTTAGTAACCAAAACAAACATAAAATCTATTAAGAATATATTTTTTTATTTATGATAATAAGATTTAATACACGTATAATATCTCAAACTTAACTGTTAATTGCTTACTAATTTAAATTAATTAATATTTTACTATGAGATCATCTGCTATTTCTTTGTTCAATTTAAAAAATTAAGAAAACTTTTAAACTATATCCCTAACTAAATCTGGTGATAATTTAAACATTAACATATGTTATGCTACTTAAGTTAATATACTTAAAATGCTTGTATTAATGTTTTCTTTTGTTCCTTTTTTTATCTTAGATATTTAATTTATTATAACGGCTTCCCAATAATCACGATGTTACCATATTTGATGATTCACAAGCATGTCTTACATATATCTTGTTTAAGTATCCTTAGTAAATAGTCCAAAACTAAATTAGAGTAACTATTAAGCCAAAATGGCATTTTTATTTTCATAACACTTAATTTATAAAATATTATCATTACATAATCCAATATACCAATTGAAATATTAGTACATTAAATAAATTCCTGAAGAGTTAATTGAAATGAACTAGAATTGAATTTTTGAGCTAAAAAATTCAAAAATTCTTCTTATTTTTAAGGTTAATCTTAGATTTCTTTTGTTTCTTATTAAATTTACTCTTCTGATTTTTCTAATCCTATAGGATAGATATTAGTTGTATATATTTATTATTAGCCTTAACTATCAAGTAATTTAGTAAGAAAGGATTCTAATTCAATTGGATTAGTTTCCTATTACTTTGTCTTTTTGATGAATTCTTCTATAAATAAGTTTTAATCTTGATCATGCAGTCTCTTATATAAATATTTACAAAAATTACATCAGACATCTTCTCTAAATCATATAAGTGATTTTTCGCAATAGAAGACTCGTATACAAATATTTTTAATATACAATCCTTTATTGCATTAAGTCTCTATAAACTTAATTGTTAAAGTTAATCTAAAGTAGCCTCAGCTTCTTATTCTTTCAAAACTTGTTCCATTTCTGATTTTAACTCTAAATAATTCCCTTTTGCTTATTGATACTCTTTTTTACATGCAGCAGCTCTAAAATTGAATCTATTAATACTTATTTTTCTATTTTTCAAGTTTATCTGGTTAACATGCTGAATATACAAGTTCCAAAGTTCCCTCAATTTCATATTCTCTTTTTTTATTTTTGAGATATCCTTCTGCAGCTTTAAGATTTGATTTAATTGATTATAATTAACTGTCCCACAATTTGACATAATCTAAATATTATGTTGCTTTCTATTAAACTATCAATTATTTCATTATATCTATTTCTCCTTTTATTTCTTCAGCGAATTAAGATGATAATTATGCTCTGATTCCAAAAGAAGCACTGAAGAATTCATTAATAGGAGCTAATTTAGTTGCCAATTTTTCAATTGCTTTCGAATATTTCATCTCAATCTCATATCGATCTTAAAGACAATCACAAATTATTCCAGTTTGTTACCATCCTAAATTTGTATTAGATATAACAGATGATGCCTTATTTTTCAAGTCTTGACTATATAGCATATGAGAATTTTAATAATTAATTAAATAAATTAATTCAATATAGAAATCCATATAAAAAAATTTATAAATAAAAACTTTGCATAGTTAATATTTACTAAGATTATGAATTATATAGTTTTATTTGTAAAAAAATATTAATAATTTAATATCAATTGAAAGTTTATAATCTTTTTGCCATATCTTCCCTTAGATTTTCTTCACTTTAATGAACAAGATCTATTCTTTCAGATAAATAATTTGTAAATAATTATTGAAACTAAAATGCCTATTCTTGTTTATTTATTAGTTATTTCAACAAATCTAAAAGTAATATATGATTATTGTCATCTTTCGCTTATTATAAATCTACTTGTTCATTAATTATAGATTAGTAGTGTTATGTTGTTTATTTAACTGAATTAGTTAAACTTTTGATTTATTCAAGTTATTTTATATTTTTAGACATTCCTTATAAACCATTATACACTTCACAATTAAATTTAATGAGAAGACAACAATTTTTTTACAAAATATCCCTTAATAACTTTGTTTATCCAATTATACTTGATATAAGTATATTTAATTCATCATTGACTATTTTCTCATTATTTTCACCTAAATTATGAATATTAATTTAATTTTTATTATCATCTATTTCTTTTTTTTATTATTTTTTTTGTTTAAATTTCTTAAATTCATTTGTAATCAATTTTATTTTTTCTTATTCTTCTTATTCTTATTCTTCATCTTTTTCTAATTCTGTTTTACCATCAAATCTATTTATTAAATCAATTATTGAATTTGAAAATTCCTACATAAATTATCTTAGTTTATTAATTAGATGATTAATCAATAAATTTTCTGTTTCAAAATTACTCTCAGACAATATAATTTTCTCGAATTCTTCAGGATTAGTATTGCCTAAAACAAAATTTTCAAAATTTTCAATCATTTCTTTATTTTAATTAATTTCTTCATCTTTCTCTTCGATTTCTCTTTCAGCCCATTCGATTTACTATTCTAAGTCTCTTATTTTTTATTTTCTTTACTCTTGTAAATCATCTGCATTTTCTTTTAAATAATTATCCCTATTTAATTCCCCATGACCCAAATCAATGTTATAATGATCGTTACTTTTTGAAGAATTATATTCTTTTACATTTTATGATAAGCTACTATTAAATTGATTTTAATTTAAAGAATCCTCCTAATTTTTTATTTTTGTTTGTGAAAGAAAGAAATTTTCTCTTTATGAACTAATTTTTTTTTGAGAAGTAAATGTTCTACTCTGACCCTCAATTCCTTATTTTTCTTTGTGTTACTATGGTTTTAAAAGATTTTCCTCTTCCTAAAAGTCTTGATGTTGTTCAGAGTGATCAATCAATTTAATGGATTATTTTTTTTGGCTTGATTCATACTGATTATTAATTATGTCATTTGTATGTTCTGAATCTTATTAATTTTTACTAAGTGTTCCCTCTTCATTTTCTTAAGAATTAGAATATTTCTCATGATCTTCAGTCTAGTCGATGAACTAATCCATTTTTTCGTTTTATTAAGAAAAATTATTAATTTATGGTTAAAAAACATTATTAGCTTATTATTATATTTATTCCATTTCTTCATCATTGCTATTAAAGTTGAGCATTACTACGTTTTATTCTAATTTTTGGTTATTCTCTACTTCGATTATTTCTTTATTACAAAATCTTTAATCTTCTTCACATTAATTTAGTTCTTAATGTTACTCTTAATTATTCTCGTTTTCCAGTTTCTGTTGCTAGAGCTTAAAGTAAACATCCTCTTAGAAGATACTTTATTTGTTTACTTCGATATCCTCTAAGTTCACTTATTATTAAATATCATTATTATTTAAATCAAATTCTTATGCATTTTCGCACCCTAGATCCTATATTTTAAGTTACTGTAGCTATTCACATATCTCTCCTAATATCTCTGTATGAATGTAAATTTTTTATTATAAAAGATCATTATTCTCTTAATTTTTTTTTCCTACTTCTACTTAGCTTTCTTAATCAAATGGTTTTAAAGAGAAGAGTTCGAATTAATTTAAATTCTAATTGCAAGATTTGATATTTTGATTTTCATTTAGGAACCTTGTTTACTTATCTAATTATAAATCATCAATTTTATCAAACATTTTTTCATTCCGATTAATATTTATAATTTAATCATTATTATATTCCTCTTTCTCTTAATTCTATGTTTTTAATGAAAACTTATGTAAAAATGTTTATGAAATTTAAATTTCACTTATAGATTCTTAATCTTATTAAGATAATTCTGGTTTATTTGAAATATTACGTTATTCACTATTGATTTATAAATTATCAAATTGCTATTATTTATTAATTTTGGATGAATTTGGTTCTACATCTATTGATTATTCTTATAAAGGAAAATTAAAATTTTCTTTTTAAATTAGTTTATCTATTTGTATAGGATTAATTTTACTTTCTTTATGTAATATTCTCGTATCATTAAAACTTACACTTTCGAAATATTAAATATGTTACTATTTTTATAATAATAAACCTGAACTAATGCAAATTGCTTATACTTAATTATCTAATGGCTTTTTATTTTGACATAGTTAAATATCTTCTTTGAAATAGGTACATTCATGATAATTATAACAATTTAATTTATCATCATTTAAACTATTTTATTAATCTTCATCTTAATTTTAATATTAATCTTTATCTTAACTATTTAATTTATCATCTTTTTAACTATTTTATTAATCTTCATCTTAATTTTGTTATTAATCTTTATCTTTACTATTTAATTTATCATCTTTTTAACTATTTTATTAATCTTCATCTTAATTTTGTTATTAATCTTTATCTTTACTATTTAATTTATCATCTTTTTAACTATTTTATTAATCTTCATCTTAATTTTGTTATTAATCTTTATCTTTACTATTTAATTTATCATCTTTTTAACTATTTTATTAATCTTCATCTTAATTTTGTTATTAATCTTTATCTTTACTATTTAATTTATCATCTTTTTAACTATTTTATTAATCTTCATCTTAATTTTGTTATTAATCTTTATCTTTACTATTTAATTTATCATCTTTTTAACTATTTTATTAATCTTCATCTTAATTTTGTTATTAATCTTTATCTTTACTATTTAATTTATCATCTTTTTAACTATTTTATTAATCTTCATCTTAATTTTGTTATTAATCTTTATCTTTACTATTTAATTTATCATCTTTTTAACTATTTTATTAATCTTCATCTTAATTTTGTTATTAATCTTTATCTTTACTATTTAATTTATCATCTTTTTAACTATTTTATTAATCTTCATCTTAATTTTGTTATTAATCTTTATCTTTACTATTTAATTTATCATCTTTTTAACTATTTTATTAATCTTCATCTTAATTTTGTTATTAATCTTTATCTTTACTATTTAATTTATCATCTTTTTAACTATTTTATTAATCTTCATCTTAATTTAATTATTCATTAAAATAATCATCATTTTTACTATTTAATTTATCTTTATCTTAGTTTTATTATTCATCTTTATGTTAACTCTTCTAATTATCAACATTTTAACTAATTTTTTGATCTTCTATTTAGTTTTATTCTTCACCTATTTGTTAACTAGTTAAATGATTTTCACATTTATTATCTTATTTATCTTTATGTTAATAATTTTATTTTTAATCTTAAACACATTATTACAAACTTACTTCTATTATAGAATTTAATCCCTAGATCTTCATTTATAATTCTTATTTTTTATTTATTTTATCTTATCCTAATTTCATCTAAATTTGATCTTAAAATTATTTAGATTCTATTGAACAATATCCAGTTTAAGATTTACCTCTTTCGAAAGTCTCACATTCATAACCAAGTTTACTTTATTAGTTATTATCTTCATTAATACATTATTCATTAGTTTAAGCTTTTACAATATTTTATGATATCTCTTCATTATTTGATTCAGGATATTCAATCTTTATTTTAATTTATTGTTATTTATTTTCAAATTCTTAAATATCATTTTTCATTTCCCAGCCCAATACATTTACTTATTCACCTTATTCTGAAGATTCCTTCACTATTTATTTTAATTATTCTATTTTATCTGTTTTACAATGCTCTTCAATTAATTCCTGGGAGTTATTTTCTTTTATTTCTTCTTAATTCACAAATGTAATATCTTACCATTTTTCTACAATCTTTAAAGTTTACATATTTAAGTTATTTTCAATATTATCTTCTAGATTGATTAATTGCTAATCTTGATCATCTTCTAAACTACCTTCTATATCTTATTATGATACTAAATTAATTGTTTAATCCTCTAAAAGATTCAAAGAGAGTTCAGAATTTATTTATTATCCCTATTCAATTTCTGATTTATAATTGGCAATTTCGTCATCATTTATTTAAATAGTAATTTATTTTTTATTACTATATTAATGTCTTTCGTTATTAATCTGTTGAATTTAATCTTAGTTTTCAATAAGATTAAAATAATGACTTTCTTTTTATAATTATTTTAAATACTTTCTTATTATAGATTTTAATATTAATCTGGATTTTAATTTTGCAAGCTAATTGATTCATTTTATGAAATCTCATTGATTAGATTATTATCAATTTGATGGTTAATTTGATTGAATTTTTCTGTGTCACTAGAATTTAATATATTTAAATCTTCATTTATTTTCACATCATCATCATTATTAACAAATTCCATTTAATTATCCCTATAATCTTGATTTTCTTATAAGACTAAATTAGTGCTGCAAGCTTAGGTTAAATCATTGGAAATTAAGGATTCATCATTCTATTTTAATTAATTTACTTTTTACTTTTAGCTAATCACTTTGAGATTAATCTTCTATTGAAATGAATTAACTTATTTATGGTTACTATTAGAATTAATCCTATTAAAAATATTTAGCCGAATTCTTTTTAGAATTTGGAGTACTAGAACTTGCAACATTTTTCTTCATAAATTAATTAGAAATGAATATTATAACCAATAATTAATTATTAATTAGATGTAAATAAGTATGGTCTAATGTTTCATATAAAAATTTCATCATCTCATTTAATACTATGGTAGCCTATTTAATGAGTCTGTATAACGTTTGTCGGTGTAAAATGTTCCACTGTCAAGTATTCTTGTGGCTCCTGTGATCACATGTTAAGGTGGAGTGAATGGTGACTATTATATAGATGGATATAAGGGTTATGAAGGCTTGATATGACTAGGTGCTTTAGAACGAAGAGGAAAGGCATCTTATATTTTTGGATTTGGTAGAGTGTGGATTTTAATGAATTCTGGTACATCATTATGTCTAATTTTGATTATATGACTTAGATGAGCAGCAATTTCTATTCTAAATATTATTAATTTAAATTACGCTTTTTCTTAATAGAAAATAATATCTGATGAAACTTATTCAAATCTGTTTGAATATTCATCCAAGATATTGAAATATGTCTAATTGTCTTCAAGTAAAGTTGTTCCAAAATATTATATTACTGAAGTCATACTATTTACAGAATTTAAAGTTTCCAGAAAAGTAATATGTGATGACCATCTTTCTTTTACCTAAAAATCTATTATAAATGATACCAATTATTTAAGTTAATCTGCATCCTTTTCTTAATTTTATTAGTTCTTTTTTTGTTTATTTTCTACATCATTAATTAAAGACTTAAAAAATTGTTCAACAACTTTAATTATACGTTCTTATATTTTATTTAATTTATCTATTGTAATATTATTAGCACCAGCCATTCTAACAACGTTGTTTTCCAAATCTAAATAACTCTTGGCAAAGAAATTAGCTAATTAAATTATAATAATATTCAAACTTTCTTGAACAACATCTTTATATACAGTATTTAAGACATTTTCTAAGCATTCAATTTTATTTTGAGTCTTTTCATCTCTATGTTTTATGATATGCTCTTCTACACATTGTGGACATAATGGAAGTAAACATTGAATACATGAGCAAAAATTGGTTAAAATATTTCCTTTATGATATAAGCAGGGAATCTAAATAGTATTTATTTCATACTTTTGGAGTATTGAATCCATCATATACAAAATTCTAACTTAACAGTGTTGGTTGCTCATTTGATGATACATAAACTTATGAAGTTTATGATCTAATCTTCCCTTTTTCATCTGTCATAGCATTTTCATCAAAGACATTTCCTTTGTTTGTTGATAATTAATTCATGTGTGTCAGTTAATAAAATAATTATATAAATGAAACTTGTTAATGTATATAATAAAATTTGAATGAAATTAAACTAAAAATTATTAGATAGATTAGAAGAGTCTTTGGCACATAGTTTTGTTCAAAAATATTAAGAAGAGAAAAATAGAAAAGTTGCTCCAGAAGAATTCATCAGTGATGATTATAAGGGTAATTTTAGGGTAAGGCAAGTTAGTGATAGACAAGATAACATGAAGAAAAGTAAATTTGATGCAATGTCTACTGCTACATCAAATTTCTATAAAGAGACAACTACACCTAATTCATCTAAACCTCATTCATCTATTAATACTTCTAAATTATTAGAATAAAGTAAGATTTCCTAACTAAAACAATCAATTATAACTAACAGAATTACATCTGCATAACCTACAAAGCCTTTAATGATAAAAAAATTATAAAAAAATACAGAACAATTATCAATAGAAACTAAAGAATAAAAACCTCCAATATTTGCATTAAAAAGGTTATCATCTACCAAATAGTAATAATAAGATGAAGATAAGTCTATCACACAGAATTAGGAATAAAGTCTCAATAATTCTTTAGTGTCTAAACCTTCAATATTAAGAAAATCTTCATTGACATCTCAAGGAAAAAAAATTGAAATAAAAAAAGATTAAGATATAGAAACAAAGAAAATATCTCTAATCAAAAATTAAGAATCTCAAATATCAGAACCAGTATTTTAATTCTAAATTGCTAAAAAAAAAATTGATGACATGATATATGATATTATGGATATAGATACTTTATAAGAAATTACAAAAAAAAATGAAGTACAAATATTTCAATAAAATTTTAGAGTTAGTTTGATTAAATAACATCCATTTAATTTAGATTTAATACTATGAATGATTCATTATATATGTTAGGAGAATACTTATAAAATTTACAAGAACTTAAATTGAATAATTCTTAGATAGAATCTTTAAGATTATTAGGGACTAAATTGGGTAACTTATAAGTTCTTTGGATTAGCAATTCAAAATTAACTGATATTTCTGGTACAACTATAATAGTTATACAATATTAGGAATTATGAGTATGCCAAATCTTTTAGAATTATATTGTTCATTTAATAATATCAAAGACATAAGTCCTTTAGCTTTTCATGAAAAGATATCCATTTTGGATATTGAAGGTAATGAATTAGCTGATGAATTCTAAATTGATTATTTAGAATCTTTAAATTTACAATAATTAGTCATTAGTTCAAACCCATTAATCAGAGATGATTAATTAAGGGATAAACTTTATAAAAAATTACCAGCTACTGAGATTTATATTGATGATAATGATATACCAATAGAATCTTAAATTATTTCAGAGACAAGCCAAATTAAATAGCTTTATGATATAGCAGAAATGATGGATTCTAAATTTGATGTATTTTTATTTAATCATTTTTAGCTAATAAAAGTAGAGGAATTAAAGGATCTAGAAGAAAGAGTCAAATATTAATTAGATAAAGATTTATTATAAGAACCTGATGAAAATAGAATATTGAGTTTATCGATCAAATAAAAGCCTCTTGAAAAGTCAAAATTAAAGCGACCATAAACAGCCCAGGTTTAATAAACATATACTGTAAAGAATTAAGTTTATACAACAAGCCCGATCCCACCTCAGAATTAGTTGGATTAGAAGAAGCTTTTGCAGGAAATCCCTTAAAAGCAGCCAAAAAATACAAATAAAATAAAGAATAAATTTTTGATCCTACTGATAGGAAAAGTATTGACATATAAACTTTATTAAATAAGTTCAAATGAGTAATGTAGTTAAATAAAAATTTATATAATCATTAATTTTATAGTTCTTCTATAATACCTTTTCTTTCTAATTCATTTATTTCTTCTTTATCATACCATTTAACTCTTTTTCCTTCTACCCATTCTCCAATTCTCATAACATTATCAGTAGAGTAATAAATTCCAACCCCTTGCTATTTACCTCCCTACCATATACCAATATATTTTCTTCCATCTTCCCAAAAAAACACTCCTTTACCATGTTTCTTATCGTTTTAATATTCCTAATTTATTTAAAGTTTAATACTCCTTTATATTATCTTCCATCTGGCCACTTTATTTCTCCTTTACCATGCATTTTATTCTTCATCCATTATCCAACATATACTCTTCCATCTGTCCATTGATAATTTCCAAATCCTTGAATTTCATTATTATAAAATTCCCCTAAAATGTAAATTCTAAATATACCTTGATAACAAGAACCATCAGCAAAATTTAATTTCCCTTTGCCATGCTTTTTACCAAATTGATAATCTCCTTCATATCTTGCTCCATCTGGCCAAGTCTCTATACCTCTTCCATGTTAACTATCATTTAACCACTTACTTATGTGTTAAAACCTATACCTCTCCTTGATATTTTGCTCCATTTACATGAATATAGATTCCTAATCCATTAGCAGCATCATCAATCCAATCTCCATCATAAACATCTCCATCAGCATGAATTAGTTTTCCCTATTGAATTAATTTTCAATTTACTTTTCCACAAGATTTATCATCTTTCCATTCCCCTTCATAAATTGACCCATCTGGCCAAGATTATTTACCATATCCATCTCTTTTCCCTTGAAACCACTCCCCTTCATATGATGAACCATTAGGTAAGAATATTAGCTATATAAATTTTACATTTTTACTGGAAGCTTAATTCTCTCATTAATTGCCATACTCTTTTGTATTAAAGGATTTTAGTTCGCATCTTAATTTTGAATTGGAAGATTCATTTCAATTTACTTTATAGACACCTTGCTATGTTGTGAAGAAATCATTAAATCAGAAACAGTATCACTTTTTTTTTTTTATTTTTTATCCTCTACTTTTTCCTATTCTTTATTTATTTATTGAGAATGTTTTGACTTTTTAATTTTGATTTCTAGAGATAATCCTGAATTTCTTATAGTTTAAACCTCTTCCTTCTTACAACAAGTGTTCATTGTACAAGTTTAACCCATTTTTGAGAAATAAATATTAATTAGTTGCAATAGAAAATAAATTAATTTGTAATGATAACTTATCTAACAACATCAAAAGAATGAACTCTTAATAGTAATTAATTTAATTATTTTTGGAATTGCTCATCATTAAATTAATTAAATTATTTTAGATTCTTAATTCAAATTGGATTTTTATGATATTTCATTATAGAACAAAACGATAAGTCCATTTTGAAGGCTAATTATTCATTTACTTGTGAATATATTAATTACAAATATTATAAGTAATAATATTTAAAAAATTAATCCAAAATATATATTATAGAATTGAAATCTAATTTTAGATATTCGATTTACTCCAAAATTTTATCAAATAATCATTCTAATATCAATTTACTTTCTTAATATTATCACACTTTAAATAGAAGTTATTATAATTTCTTCAAATCCTTTTTATATTAGAATATTTCAAGGATTAACTTTCTTATTTTTCCAATCAGGTTATTTCAAACAAAATAAATGATTGCTAATTTTAAATATCATCAATAATTAAATTCTTTCATTTATGTTTATCTGTTTTTCAAGCATAAACTAAAACAACTCACAAAATATAGTAATACTAATTTCTTTTTAATCAATTATCTTATTTAAATTAATCAAACATGAATGCAAAGGTTAAAACAGAAATTTTACAATTTTGCAATCCTCTTTTTCTTATCACAATATTCTAACTCTATTTTATTAAATAAAGTAAATTTTAGTATCTGACTATGCCATAGGAGTTTGTAAAAAAATATTAATACATTATGAGTCTGAGTCTGAAGATGAAATTTATTTAAAATTATTTATTTAATTTTATTATTCTAGAATTTATTAAATGATTATTAAAAAGAACAATAATTAGAATATCATATCTTAATGTAGATTTGAATATTCAAAGTAAATTCATAATCTCTCTAAATTTATTAAATCATTAAATTTAAGATCTAATTTTTGAATTATTTTATTAGAACTATGCTAACAATTATTATTAAATAGTTCATATCTTTCTTTTTTAAGTTCATCTATTATGTCTTGAGCATCACTGAATTAGATCTACTTTGTTGGCAAATATTCGTAACATTCTACGTACACTTAGGATGCTTAACCTTTCTTATATATTCCTTAATCAACTCTATGCATATTTTCATGGAAAGATGCTAACATGCATGTATTATCTGAACAAATAATTGTGTCAGTATGCTCAGTAATTAACTTTGCCATAGGATATTGTTTAAGACTATATTTATTTTCTCTCTTGCATTAATAAACATTTTTTATGTTCTTTTACTTGAATAATTATTTATGATCATCTTAATAAGGTATAATAATAGGTTTTCGCTCACTATCCTTCTATAGACTTGAAAATTTTGGTAAAAACTGAGAGCAAATTTTGGTAAGGATAATAAAATTAGTTACTATTGGAATTTAACTGGTGCTGCTTGATAACATTCCAGAAGAACTACTATTATTATGTAATAAACTATTGCTAAAACCTAATGCACAATCTATGCTACTATTAATTTCTTCTTTCTAAACAGTCTCTGAAGATAACTTTACTTACCCAGGATTAGATTTAAAAGAAAAATTTTACACACAAAAATTCCATGCTTTATTAAATTTTTCCATTAGAAATTCTAATTAATATTATTATTTAAATGCAATTAATTTATAATTTGTATGAATACATAAATGCAAAAATTAATTCTTAACGTTAATATTAAAAATCTAATTTTCTGCAATAATGAGTTAATTTTAAAGACCTACTTCATCAAGAAAAGGCACATTCAATCTTCCAACATAATCAGGAGATTTAGAAGAATATATGTATTAAATAATATTGAGAGTAGTCAAATATTATATGATCATTAAAAGAGTTGTGAAAAAGCTGGTAAATATTTAGAAGCAGATCAGGCTAAAAAAAGATTGGCAGAATTAAAGAAAGAATTAGAAATAAAAAATAAAGGAGGTGTCAAAGATAGACATTGCACAGAGAAATAAGAGATTGAGAAAGCACATCTTGAAGAATTCAATTAATTTAATTAATTTTGGGATTAAAAGATGATAGAGTTTGATAACGAAGCTCAAAAAGTGAAGGAATAAACCCTTTAAAGACATGAAGATGAATTAAGATAATTTTCTGAAGAATTAGAGAATTCTCTTCCAGTAAAACCCAAGGATTCAGCTGAACTTTTAGCTTTAAGAAAAACTGAAGAATAATTAGCTAAATAAGAGAAGTATTTATAAATTATTATATATTTAGTTATTTGGAAGCTCATGTATTACAATCTAGAATTTAAGGATAAGAAAGAGATGAATATGAGAAATGGACATCATGTAGATAATAGAAGATAAGAAATTTAATAACATAATTAAGATAAAAATAAATCAATGAATTAAATGCTTTGACTTAAAGAATATTAAGTGGACAAGAAGAATAAAGAAAAATTCGATCTTAAGAATTAGAAAAGTGATTTTTGTTGATTATATTTTAGATTACTGTAAAAATATCAAAATGTGAGAAAAGAATTAGAAAGCCAATAAACATAAGAAATTACTAGACTAGACAAGACTAGCAAAACATAATGTATATTATTAGTTTAAAATATTTAGCCATTATGCAATAATCCAGAATGAATCAATCAAGGATGTAATAAAGTTAAGCCAGGGATGAGAATCAGTATATCAGATGATATTTAGTTAAAATACTATAAATATATATAAATTAAAATTTAGAATGGGTTCAGCATGTATTAAAAAGCAGCCACATCCTCAACGATAACAATAATAGCGACAAATATAATCTCGATAATCATAAAGCACAAATTTGTCATCACATTAAAACACGTAACGTCGAGCTTCAGAATCACAATAACCTTAATAACAAACTAACCAGATATAAATCAAAGAAAACTCCTCCAAGCCTCTTTTAAATAGTGGGGTAAATGCTAACCTTAATTTAGTTTACTTCACCAAGATCTGATTTAAATGATAAGTCAATGACTAGCAAGAACGAACTAACTAAAGTTGAACCATTAAAACATCGCTTTCTCTAATAAGAGTCAGATAGTTATCTTTTTAAAAATAACGATGCTCCAGATTCAGATATAGCTATATAAGTCAAAGAACCAGATATAACAAACCAAAATGTAGCCAAAGTATTAAAATCTCTCCCTCCCTTTTAATATGATCCTGACTTAAATAAAAAATTTAATGATTGTATCTCTTTACCACCTCATGTAATTATACTTACTATAAAAACTAGTAATTCATTAGTACAGGAATTATATATGTAGGGCAATGGAGAAATAAATAAAAATAAGGCAAAGGACGTTAATATTGGCCAGATGGTACTTACTATGAAGGATATTGGTTAAACCATGGAGCCAATGGCAAAGGAAGGTTAATTCGTTCTGATGGCTCCTATTATGTATTTATTAATAATCCTATAATTTCAGGAAGGAGATTGGCTTGATGATTTATAATTTGGATTTGGTAAAAATGTTGATTCAGAAGGTAATATTTATGAAGGAGAATGGAAAGATGATGAAAAAGATGGTTAAGGAACAGAAAAATGGGTATCAGGAGATACATATTCAGGTTAATATTAGGGAGGAATGAAACATGGTAAAGGAAAATATATTTGGTCTAATGGAAATTGTTATGAAGGAAATTATTTCAAAGATTAAATTGATGGATTTGGCACCTACAAATGGCCAGACGGTTAAGTTTATACTGGAGAGTGGGTTAAGAATTAAATGTATGGAAAAGGTACGTTCATTTGGGTTAATGGCAATAAATATGAAGGTGATTATAAAGAGGATAAGAAGGAAGGTTATGGAGTTTTCTTCTATGCAGATGGGAAAACATACAAAGGAGCATGGCATAATGGGAAATAACATGGAAAAGGAGTTTTAATAGAAGCTGATGGAATGGAGATAGTTGGTGTATGGGAAAAAGGAAAACTAGTTTAATAAGAATGAATTTAAAATTTAAAGTGTTTGCTTTAATAAATTTTACTAAATTCGCATCTTTATTTAAATAAACAATTAGAATACTAATGTTATATAAACTAGTGTTATGTTCATCTAAAATTGCTATTAGAATTTCTTTAAATAATTTATTTATTATTATTGTTATATTTTTTAATGAAATTTAGTATCTACTGTTGTTCTCCAAACGTTAAAGGTTCTAGAACCTAATAAAAAAATGATGAATCAACTATGGTGAGTATTAGAAGCATCTCTTAAATCAGTTTACCCTCTATCTCAAAAAAAAAGAAACCGTGGGTCTTCTAAGACGACTATGATTTTTTAAAGGATGAAAAGAGAATGTTTAAACTTCTTGATGATGATAATTCCCCCTATATCAATAGAAGATAATAAGCTGTTAAATTAATTTAACAAATTGATTATTCTGATCCTGCTGATATTGAGGAGAGATTCTCATTTATTTTAAAGTATAATATAATAACTAAACAAGAGATACTTAAAACAAACAAGAATAGGCAATTTATATAATATTGGGGTGTTTGCATTTGCTTTTGTATTACAAATTAATAATTTATTCCAAAAAGCAATCTAAGTTTGGTAAAAATTTTTAGTCTTTTGTAATGGTAATAGGTCATTTAAATATAAAATGATCGCATATAAATTTCTAGCAGAACTTTATCTTTTAGAAGGTGATCTAAAAAGATCTTTAAATTATAGCAAGAAATTCCTTAAATATGCATTATGTTTTAAAGAATATGAATATGAATTAAATGCTTATGAATTAATTGGCAAGATCTATTACTACAAACAAGAATCTCAATTAGCCAAAGCCTTTCATGAAAAATTTATGGAAGGTGAGTAGCTGTCAAATACAGATCAAATTAGAATCTAAGCAAAAAAACTATTTGATTTTAAGATAAAGCAATAGTAGAGTTTAGGAAAGATTGATACTGATAGTGAAGAAGAGTTTGAATTAAATAAGTTAGTAGAACCTAAAGAATTAATATTTAATCCCATAAAAGTGAAGGATGTTTTAATCAAAAATAAACACTTGTGGGGACATGTTAAAAGAGATAGTGAACCTTTAGGTCCTATTAATAGAAGCATTCTTGATAGAAAATTGTTTTAAAGAGAATATTATACATAATTGAGTCACAACAATAGTCTGTAAAAATTTGTGAATAATAATGGAATTCAATTAACAACTACAAAGAAAAACTTTATCGTGATAGATAAATTAATATTTGATATACAATAATTTTGATTTAATAAAAATTATTGTGAAATTTAGAACTCTCAATATTCTTATTTTTAAACACTATGAATTTACATTTTGTTTTCATCTATTAGTTTTAATAGCAAATATATTCTTTTATTTCTTTCTTTTATTTTAAAATTATTTTAATCTGTAATACCATCATATTTAAAATTTAACATTATATAAATTATAATTCAATCATTGAAAATTAATAACAAAATTAATTAAAAATAAAATTAGAATTGAATTTAATTTATTTGTAAATATATATATATTTATTGAATCATTGCTGCCTTGGTTTATTTGGCTTTTTAGTTAAAGCTAAAATTAAAATGAAATGGTACTTTAATATTATTTAAAAAAACCCTAAATGTGCTTTGCTGCCTCTGCTTTTTTCTCTTTTTCAATATAATGAGCATCTTTGATTCTATTAAACTTTTCTTCTAAAATTTTCTCCTATCTTTTTTGAGCATCTACTATTATAAAATATGATTTTCTATCTCTTAATTATTATTCTATTTTCTAGCAATCTTGTTATAATTAATTTAATTTTGTTGTTGATTCTTCCATCATCAAATCATAATTTTATACTCCATCAATTTAACCTTAATCTTGTATTTACTTAAGCCTCTTTAGTTTAATTTCCTCTTAAGTATTTTCATCTCTTAATTTAATGAATCTTGATCTCAAAACCTATAGTTCTTTTTATAATTCATCTATTTTTGTTTGTTAATTCTTATCAAGTTTCTCATATTGAGATTTTATTTAATTCTTAATGTAATCAACATTTTACTATTTTTCAATTTTCAAAATTTGTAGCTCTTATTTTAATTTCTCTATCTATTACTTCATCTCTTCAATATTTACAGAGTTTTACTGTTTTAATTTAAATAAATCTTATTCTAAATATAGTTTTGTCTTTTCTTATTCCTCTATCTTAATTTAAATATAAAAGATACCTTTGATTAAATTTTTTAAAACTATTAAATTTAACTGTTCTTTTCTGCTTATGTAATACTCAATTATTTAAGAATTAGGATCTTTAAACATTTGACCCCATGCAAATAGTCACTTAGTTCGATATTTACATTTTTTTTCATACTTTTTAATATTTCAAATTCTTTTGGGTTATGCTACATCCTTCTAAGTAAGTTCTTGAAGTTTTCTTAAAGTAAATGTTCTAACCTTTCTGATTCAACTCTTTTTGATTCTTCAATTTCTTCTCCTTAACTAATTGCTGTATTTAAATTTGCATAAAGCTTAAATTTTTATTCAAGATCTGCTTATTTTTATAATATTTTAATAGTATCTTCAGTGAGTTACAGTTTTTCATCTTTTTAAAATTTACTTATTTAAAACCGAGTAATAAAATCATTATCTAAATATAGACAATATTCTATGTCTTAAATTAATTGATCCAAAACTTTAATTACTCTTTATGCTTCAACTATGATTGATTTTCCTACAATAGAAGATTCAAGATTAGATAAAATTTCTAAATGTCCATCTTAAAATGATTTATGTTAGAACTTTACTTTGTTCTCTGTAAACCCTGTTTCTGTAGATTTTCCTGATTAATTCTGCATACCTTTCATTTAAGATAAATATTATTACTTTCTTTAAATTAAATTTATATTTTAATTAGCAAAACTGATAAATTTTGATGAGTTAATCCTTGATTAATTTATTATAAATAATTAACATCTTAATTAAAATATCAATTATTTGATTATCATTTTACATAGATTTATTACTAATCTCTTATTATATCATTATAATTATATTGATATTTTTATATATAACTTTTTATGGTATGTCAGACTGCCAAGATTAACCATTAACTATAGATCCTTTAAAATTTAGTCGGACTGTTCTTTCATTATATCAATTTCTAAAAGGACTAAAATGTATAAAATCAAGAATGCCGATTCTATTTTATTTTACAAAAAACTTTCAAAATATTTCTCTTCTTCACCCTTTTGTGGATTATTTCATACAATATTGCTTGTCGAGTCGTCAACATATGTTTAATTAGTAATATAAATAGAATTAATTAATATTTATGTTTATTATTAGACTACTTATAAACTTCACAATTTGGGAATTTATTATGAAACCTCCTAAATACCTAATACTTTTTCTATTGTATCCAATCCGTATTTAGTTGGAGCTCCTGTTTCTTTTAATAGACTTCTATTTAATCTTGAATTCTGAATATATTCCTTATTCATAAATTTTTAATGCCATTCAATCATTTTATCAGTACCAGGTGTTTAAAGACCAAGCATTTCTGATAGATCCTAATATTGAATATGATGATATAATTACTTTAAGTATACATAATCCATAAGGAATATCTTCCCAAAAGATTCTTGCTTCAGTATTTAATTAAACACCTCCCTAAACAGGTTTAGTAGGTATTTAAATAGTAGCATATCCTGCATTAGTTCTAAATACAGTTTTCAAATTAGATTTATCTTTAACTTGATCACCATATTATTAAATAATTCTTTCCTTAATTGGTATAATTAGATCTAAATTAAAATGAGGATATCTTTTAAGAATCTCTCTTTTGATAGCTTAGATTTCATCATCCAAAATTTGGAGCATATAGGCACTAAAATCATCAAAATCTTCATAAAATGTAGGTACTTCACTAGGTTGAAAAACTTATTTGCCATCCCAATTCTAAAAATAAACATAATTATAATACTCTAAATACAGCATAAACTCTAGCAGGATGAATGATTTAATTGCTAGGAGTTAAGGTTAAAGTCAAAAAATTGGGTGCTTATAGTACAGGAATTTAAAACATATTTTCCAATAATAAAAAGAGTTCTTCTTTTCTGTTTAAATTTGAGAGTGCACATTAAAGTTTAGTTTTTGGTCCAATTATTCTTACAGATTCTCCATATTTAAAAATTTTGCAAAGCCAAGGAATATTATAAAGACCAAAGTAAGTGATATTATCGGTTCTGATTCTATCTCCAAAAACGCTCCTACACATCCATTCAAATCCACCTTATGCATATAATGTACCCTTGATTATATTGTTATTTTAATTACCACAAATGAATCTTTTGTTACAAATGGAGCAATTTTCTATAATATTTCATGATGAACATGAGCAGGTCCTCCTATGATCCATAATTTTGCTCCAACAAAATCCTAAGGGTTATTAGAAACCTTATTAATTTTTCCTTGATGATTCAACATATAAGGTCATACCAACAAAATTTCCTAGTGATTCCCATGGACTTCCTTTTGTCAAACCCACTATTTCTTATTTCCAATCTTGAGGTTTTCTGGTAAATACATTAACTTAAATGTTTTCAAAACGACCTGCAGATGCCACAGTTGCATGAGAGCCATTTCCACCTCCACATACTACAATACTTGTTGGAATCATTTAATTTTATTGAATAATTTGATTCAAGTAAAAGTTAATACAAAAAAGTAAATAAAAAATTTTTCCGATACCGGGGATTGAACCCGGGTCCCCAGGGTGAAAACCTGATATCCTAACCACTAGACTATACCGGAAATGTTAATAATTTATTGATGATTTGAGTTTTATTTGGCAAAAATTAATAATTCATTTTCATTATCTATATAATTTTTCAATATAATTCAGCAATTCTCTAGGTGTAACTTATTTTCTATCTTCAGATAACTTAAATTTTTGTTGATAATGAGTATTATTCACAATATAAATTGTAAGTTCCAACATTTTATCTAAATCCAATTCATAAAAATTTTGATTCTATAATTATAAATAAAAAATAATAATGATACTTTTAATTAATTAAATACTTCTATGTATCTTTCAGCTTAATCTAATTAAAAATCCTTATCTGTGTATAATTCATCAGATTTAGAATCCAAAAGCATAACTCTAACATTTCTGGGAATGACTTGAATATCTTACTCATCAAGTTTTAGCAGTTCCTTCAAGCTTGGGTTATTTTAGAAACACTTACTTCAATTTTCTTTGGTGTCATATTTTCCATTTTTTCCTTAATAATTTTATCAATCTACAATTTTGGAAATATTTATAATCTTTGAACATCACTCTAATGTTGATCATTATTACTAATATAATATGTAAAATAATACCTTTATATATAATTACTTTAAGTTCTTTATAGATAACGTGTTTGATGTCCTATATTTTCTGGTTAACTAAAGTATCTCTTTAATTCAGGAGGATGATTTTCTGGAATCAAATGTGATTCTTCCATTAATTTTTCCAACAATTATATTTAATCTCTTTTTAAACGATTAGCCTCTTCAGGATCAACATAAAATTAGAATTCCTCCATGACAGGTCCATCTGGTGTAAGATGTCTTTTCTTCATAAAATTAATTCTAAATTCATCTAAGATATCTTCTCTTTATTAAAATCCTTTTACACGCTTTCTTCCTAATTCAGCTATAACATTATTTTGAATTTCAGCAATTTCTTTAGATTATTATTCTTTTAGCATTTATTCTTATCTTTGATATTCCTAACGACTGATGTTAGAATGTCCTAATGATTACCATTTAAATTAGTAATATTTTTATTTGTCTTTCAATTCTCTTTATCCCATTAAAAGGATTTACTTAAGAGTTTTAGAGTATTAGGACTCTTTGGAAGACTCATACAAAATGTCTTATAGAATCTAAATTATTAGTGGGATTTATCAACCTATTCAATATTGATTGATTCAATTGGACATCGAATGAGATTGGCTTATTCTTGATTGCGAATGGACTCAAAGGGTATTTAGTTTGTTTATTGTTGCTCTTTTGATTTTTTTTTAATAATTGGTTAGATTTCCTCAAAGATGTCACTATAATCGTCATCCTTCTCTATCTTGTTGTTTTATTTACGCTTAGTATTCTTTTTACTCATTTATTTAAATATAAAAATATCTAATTACAATTCACTTCTTTTTTTTCTGAGTTGTTTATAAAGTTTTGAATGCTTTAATCAAAAAATATGTCAAAAAGACTCCTCCAAGAATTGGAAACACAATTAAGTAATTAAAATTCATTCCAAATACTCCAATGGGAGGAACTGTAGATTGTATCTCACTTTAAGTGTCTTTAAGAAATTCAGTTTCAAGAGTTTTGACAATATTAGAAATTGTGTCATCTAATTATGGATTTGGAATTAAGTCCTTGTTTTTAAGATCTTTAATATAATGAGTGTAATCGAAGCCTTTTACAATTTCTCTATATGTAACATGGAATGATAATCCAGCTTCAAAATCTTTGATTATCTAAAAAACGCGTGTTAAACAAGTATACTTACTTATTTACTATCAGCAAGAGGAAGAGTAGCAAAACACTTTTTTATCATATATATTCTTATGTCATGAACAATCTTATCTTTATCATTTTGTTAATATCGCTTAGCCACTGAATCAACTACATGATCAAAAGTCTAAAAAATAATATATGATATATAATACCTTGAATTTTTGATTGTCTTATACTGTTATAAGCCAACATGAAGTGATAACCTCTATGTTATCAGAGACACCATTAACAATTTATATGCAGAGACTTAAACATAGTGCCAATATGTATGGAAACATGATATATAGTATTATTATTTATTTAATTATTTTCTATGCCTCCTAAAACAACAAAGGATCAAAAGGGTCGATAATTATTTAGAGTTGGCACACCATTAAAGGATGTGATACCATAAAGTGTTAAGAATCCACCTAGAGATCCTAAACCGCTTAAAGCACCAGAATAAATTAACAAATAGAGTATGCAAGGTAAATATAATTGTTCAATATGAAAGAATATCATCCATTTCCTGACCCTGAGGATTGGCCAGGTGATGAAGTTGTTTAAGCCTTAAATCTTCTATAGGGTGAGGCTTAACTTACAAAGTGCAATTTTGAAACTGACAAATATGTTCCATTTTGGAGAAGACCTAAGAATTTTTTAAGATAAAGATGGCAATAGTAAATATATAATTTATGTTAGAGAATCTGAACATGAACCACCTTATATGGAAATGAGAGAAAATAGATATAATATGAATGATGATTATTATTCGACTAGACTTGAAACAATTGAAAAAATACATTTTAAGGAAAAGGAAGTTGAACATCAATTGACTATTTGTGAGAGTTATGAAAGAATGGAAACACCTGAAGAAGTAGAATTAAGAAGAAAAGAATTTTTAGAAAAATAAGCAGCTTAATAAAAAAATAAAAAGGGTAATAAAAAACAAGCAGAGGAAGTATTTGATGAAAATCCAAAGATGACATCTGATGTTAGATTAAGTGATTTAATTTGTAATGATACATTACCACCTAATTCTCGTTGGATTGCATCATAATTATAATAGATTAAGGATAGAGATATTAAAGATTGTTTTACTCAAAAATCATTATCAAGCAAGATATATCCATAAAAAGATGGAGCACCAATATATAATCCAAATGGTAAATATATAGTCAAATTATATTTTATGGGAAAGGAGAGAAAAATATAAGTTTCTGATCATATGCCAACAACATTTGATGGTAAACCATTATTGCCTCAAAGTGTTGATAAAAATCAATTATGGCCTATGATTATAAGTAAAGCAATATTATAATTATGGGATTATCAAAGTAAAGGTAGTTTAGTTGGAGATGGATTTGTAATGTATTCTTTAATGGGATTATTAACTGAAACTATTGATTTGAAAACTATTAGTGGTTGGGGTGTAATTGACAATATGATGAATAATAATCATTATGTCTAAAAAGATGTTTTTGTATCTACATATAGTTATAAAAATCAATCTAATTTAAATACAAATAATAGATCTAAGAAAGAATATCTATTAGAATTATTAAGAAATCCAAAAAAAGAATATGATAATTATGAAATTGCTAGAAATAAAAATAGTTCTCCTTCATAACATTAATAAATTTAATAAGAAGAATAAGATGAATAATAAGAAGAAATGGAATAAGATGAAGGTGAACAATAAATTCAAAGATTTAGAAAAAGTCAAAGAGGATTCTCATATGAAAGTTTGAGTAGATCTTATTCTATTCCTCGACCATCAATACCACCAGGTAACACAAATCTTAATACTTGTTTTTCATATTCAATTGTAGAATAATTTTAGAATGAGAATGGGTTTAATATGGTTTATGCATAAAAAAGGAGTGATAGAGAATTAAGATTGAGATAAGAATATTTTGATTTATGCAAAACACCAATGAATAAAATGACAAAAGAAGAAAAATTAGAATTAAGAAGAAGAAAAAAAGAAATTAAAGAAAAATTACAAGATGATGATAAAAAAAGGATTTCTTTAATTAGTTAATAACCAGTTAAACATAGATACTTAAGATTAAAGAGTGATGTTTAAGGTAAGGATCCAGTAATTGTTTTCAGTCCACTTGCAGCTGATGAAATATATATTGCTAAAAAATGTATAGCTAATAAATTGAATAAACCTCCAAATTATGATATCCCAGAAATTAAAGGAGATGATAAATCTGTTGTTTCAGCCAATATGAAGAATACTGATGATAGTTTTACAGTGAAACCTTTAGAAGATTTTTCTTCTGTTAATAATGCATAAGAACCATTTAATAGAGGAGAAGGAGGGTTTTGGGTACATGAAAAAGAATTTTTAAGTCTTTTTGATTACATTTAAATAGCTTATGATCCGAAGAGATATAATTTACAAATTTTGTAAATTCAAAGCAATCCAGATAATGATATTGCTAGTTATGATAATATTGAAATGATTATTGTTTAAAGAGATCCAGATTCTGATGATAATGCTTAAGTTGCATTTCTTTATGGATTTTAACCAAAATATTCTTAAGATAAAGATCTTAATGAATAAATTAGACCATATTCTATGTTATAACGATTTGATTTAGAAACATATGAGTCAATTTTGGATTACAAATTATTAAATTAATGTGTTAGTTCATAAATGCTATTATTAGATAATAAAAATCATATATTCAAAATGAATATATATTCACCACTCAATTTCACTATATGGTTTGCATCTAATAATAAAATCAATACTTAAAGTGTATTCGATTATTTAATTGATTATGAAAATTATCAGAAACAATCCTTCTAAATAGATTATCCATCATGTGAAGCCAATAGATACTATGTGTATTTTAGATTCAAAGTTTTCTTGAATTCTAACAAAGAAAATGGATCATTTGTTTATAGATTGAAAAGTACAACAGATAATTAATTATTAAAATTCCTTAAAGTTAAATTATGTGAAATACCTCCTCCTGATAATAATTTAATGCTCACTACAATTGAAGGAGTTCATAAAAATTTATTTGAAAGTGAATCCATCATTAATGGTACATAAAGAATGATGCTCAGAAGTTAAACTACCTACTACTTTATATTAGAAGGAACTCCTTAATACAATACATAAGAAGGCACCTTTGAGTTGGATTTCTTAATCAATTAAGAATTTACTTTTACATAATTAGAGAATGTAGAGCCTGCTCGTTTTTATGATAAATATGTTCCAACTAAATATGGTACTATTTTTAGGGAAAGAATATTTGCCAATGAAGCATAAGCTAGCATTTATGTTAGATTAACAGAAGGACAATAAGCTTAATAATAATAATAAGTAGCAAAAGGTAAATAAACAAAAGGAGGAGCTTAAGAATTAGAAATAGTTGAATCTGAAATGAAAGGAGAAAGACTTATTCGTTTAGAATTATATCATGGAGATGATTTGATTGTATATAACTATGGAATTAATTCAGTCACACTCTCAAATATTACATTACCTAAAGATGAAAATTATGTAATTTAAGCATCCTTTGATCTTAGAGAATGGCCAGAAGCTAAAATTAAATCAGAAGAGACTGATAATTTATATTGGTTCACTACTATATTTGCATCAGATACTGTTGCACTTGTAAGAGATACAACAAAAGAAGATAAAGAAAAAGCTATAAAAAAATCTTGGGAAGACAAAGAACCAGGAAGGGCTGCTAATGCTAAAAAATCTCGAACTAAATATTTAATAACATTAAAAGAAGAATTAACACCTGAAGAATAAGCAATTGTAAATGCACCTAGAATGACTAAAAAGTAAAGAGAAGAAGAAGCTAAGTAAGCAGCTTAAAAAAAAGGTCCAAAAAAAGATGATAAAAAAGTGGGTAAATAGACTAAAGTTGAGGCACCTGTAGATATAGTTCCTTAATAAAGATAAATACCTAAATCAGAAAATCATGTTAATGAAGCAATTACTTAATTTTTATAGCATTTAGAATAAGATAGAATAATGGATCATTATGCTAGACATGCTGGATTAATTAATGTCAGAAGTGATGTATAAAAAAGAGAAATTTTAGAAGGAATTTTGATGGGCAAAGAAGAAATATCTGGAATTATCTAAAGAAATCTTAAAATGAGAGAGGAAATTAAGCTTTTATAAAAGTATTTATTAAATATAACAATTATAGAGATAATAAAGAAATCTTAATTAATGAATTCTAATCTTATAGATCATCATACAAATAAGAACTTGCAGAAATATATTAATAAAGAGATTCTATTAAATAAGATCTAACATAATTAATGAAAAAAGAACAATAATTATTTGATGTAATTTTTTCATTTATAATAATAGTTATGTAAATAAGAAAAAGTAGGAAATCCAGAGGATGTTGAAAAATTAATTGCTGATCCTTCTCAATTAGATCCTATTCTAGTGAGTGCTGCAAAATAAGTAATCAATAATTGGAAGATAGCAATTATTCAAGAAAAAATTAATACAGCCCTTTAAAATTTTGATATTGATACATTATAGAAATGTGTTGATCAAATTTAATAATTAAATATTGAAGGAATAGATACAAGTGCTGCAGATGATATGCTTGATGAGGCTTCAGGTAATCCAAACTTTTAGGCAGAAAAATTGGCAGAACTTAAAAAATAAGGTAAAAAACCAAATAAAAAATGAGAATAAACATTTAGTAATATATAATTGTTATTTTAAACTTATTATGATATATTAATATTCAATTATTTTTGTTAATTAATAAGATTATTGATTAGATATATATTTATAATTTAGGAGTGATTCATAATTTAAAATCATAAAGAGAAAGTTGATCTATATATTGAATTTCTACAAATAGTAGTAGAATTTTATATTGTTTAAGATTTTTAATGTTTATTAATCACTTTATGGTATTTATAATAATATCATAATATCAAATAAAGTGGATAAAATTGAACATATATTTATTTGAAATTTTATATTTTAATTACGGATGCTAAGCAAATATTCAATTAGATCATTAACTCTCCTACGTTTCCCAAGATATAAGTTTAGTTAATAACAATAAAAACAAAATGAGTAGTAGGATGAATGGGATGAGAGAACTATTGAAGCAGAAGAGGCTAATCCAACATTGGAGAATAAAGAGAAAGCATTTTCATACTTTAGATTGTTTTCAAGGATATTTTGGTGGACAACATCAGCATTGTTTGGCTATAATTTATATCTAAATAATTATAAAACTGATCCAACATAAGAATTGGGTAAAATAACAATTTATTTGTAGGCTATTAAAAGCAAATTAATGATGCTGCCAAATATTGCTAAGATCAATATTAAGCATTTTATGATGTAACAGTTAATTATAACTTTAGTTTATGACTAAACCAGCAATTGATAAATTATTACCTGACATCCCTGAATTACCATTTGGATATGAAATACCTAAGACATTGGTACTTAATATATCAGGTACTCTATTACATATGGATTATGTTTTTGGTGTTGGGTATATATTAAAAATAGAATAATTAGAGGAGAAATTAAAAGAAGAAATGGTTTATAGAGATTTCTTGAAAAATTACCTAAAATGTATGAAGTTGTAATTTTGAGTGATGATGAAACTATGGTAATAATATAATTATAAGGCAGTTTACATAACAAATTACTTAAAAATTGGATCCTACAAGATAGATATTTGCAGGTGCTTTTGGTAGAGAATCAATGGTGTTTGAAAAAGGAAGATATATTAGAGATTTGAAATATATTAATCGTCCTCTTAATAGAGTTATAGTACTTGATTCTGATCCAGAGAGAATGTATTAATATTAAGATAATGGTATATTCATCAAACCATTTGATGGAAAACAAAATGATGAAGTCTTAAAGGATGTTCTTTTATTATTAGAGCGTAACAGATATTTTATTAACAAGAGACCTCTCTAAACCTCAAATAAAGGATGTTAGAGCAGAACTTAGAAAATTTGGTAATTTTGATCCCCAGATCAAATATTTAGATGAAGTGAAAGCTAGGGAAATTAATATCAAATAAAGTATGAACAAAAGCTTTTTTGGAATAATGAATCAAAGAAAAAATCCTTAATTTGAACAATCTAGAAGACAATGAAATAATTTAATTATCATTATGTTTGTTAATTTTATGTAATTATTATATATAAATAATTATTATATCAGAATAGTTTCATAAATAATTTCTTCTATTCTTATAACTTTTATCTCTTTAATCCCTTTTTTCTCTTTTGAATCTTTTATAATGCAAGACCTGCTTTATTATTCATCCATTTTAAGGCTAATAATTTTCTATTTCTTTCAAGTAATTTATTAGCATTTTATTCAAATGTCACATTATTTCTTTGCCATTCCAATAAAGTATCAATTATTATTGAAACATTCTTATATTATTCATCATAATTATCAATAAATTCTTATTTAACCATCTTTTTAGAATAGTATTTTCTCCATAAACAATAGAATTCATCTTCTTTTTGTTCAAGATGTTTCAATTTTTAAGAAATAAAGTGGAAATCAATTGAATTTGTCAATAACATTGAGTAAAATGTAGATAATAAGATTTTTCTGACTCTTGAAAATTCATTAATTATATCAACATATTTGGATGTTTTTAGTTTCCTTGGCAATTAATACTCACCTAATCCAAATTAATATGGTTTAAAGAATTTTTCTACTTTCTTTTTTTCCTTGAATGCAGCAATTATTTTCTTTGTTTACTTTTCTAAATTTTCACTTTTCTTTTATAAATTTGACCATTCATCTAAACAACTTTAATATGCAGCTTCAATAGTTTAATCTGTTAATTTATTTACAACATTTAATGAGTATAATCTAACATCTTATGCAAAGAATAATTTGATAGCATTAGAATTAATAGTTAGAACATCTGCTCTTTATTTTTAAGGTAAATTGACTGCTTTCATAATTTAATTATATTAATCTAAATCCTCTTAAATAGTTAGATCATTAATGATTTAATTAATACTATTTATTACATTTACTTTAACATCATTTAAGTTTAGTACTAATGTGTAGATTAGCAACATTATTTTAAAACTATAAATTTAAGGTAAATTTCTTTATAATTCTGCCAATTATTCTATTATTTATGCTAGAGCATCCTAATTTTAAACAGGATGAAAGTTAGTTTCATATAAATATGACTATTCATTTTCTTAAGTAATCTTATCAAAATAAATAAAGTATCTATTTGGAATTTTGATTTGACAATTATTCTTAGTTCTTAGTAAATATCCAACTATATTATTTATAAATAAATATGTTAATTGACAATATTATTCATCTGGAGTAATTAAATCCTATCTTACTTCTTGGTAGGAAAAGTAAAGTTCTGTTGCATCAGATATAACATTAAACTTTTTACATATTAAACATTCTAAATATTAAAGATAAGGTTCATATTTATCACATTATCCTTATTCAATTTTATGATTTAAATATTAATAAGTGATGTGATTATTATCAGCATAATTTAATAAGAGTATAAATTTTACCATTGCACAATGGAATGTTTATGAATCATTGAATTATTTATTAATCTTTTTTAAAGCCCAATTTGTTATATAATATCTAGATTCTGATGATAAACATTTTAAATATGGATTTTTTAAAAGATAAATTTATTGATTAAATGGACCTTTATGTTTTTCAAACAAGAATTTAACATCAATTTAATCATCTATTTTTTCAACTTTAAATCCATGTTTCATTTTAAAGTCTTCTGATATTTTTTGATATATTTATTATTATTCCTTCTTAATCCAATCATCTACTGTTGATAAATTAGTGTTCTCTCTTAATTATTAAGTTTTATTAAGTGAATAAGTTTACTTTTACTTGTTATAAAGATAGATACTCAAATTTTCAAAATGATCTTCATATTCATGTGGATACAATTGATCAAAATGATATTCTATAAAAATATTTTTTCTTAAAAAATTGACAGAACTTAATTCATTGCTTAATTTTTTAGTGATCAAATACATCACAGAAGATCTTGGAGCACTAATGAATTCAAAATCAATATCTACAAAATAATAATCATCTAAAACAATTTTATTTCCTTTTAATTATAAACTATGTCTATTTTCAATTAAACTCTATATTATAACAGATGATCGATGAATTATTAATGAATTACAATATGGTTTGAGTAAAGCAACATTATCTGGTTATCTTATTTTAAAGTAAAATAATACACTTCTAGTAAAAATCTTTTATAACCTTTATAAGCAATCTTCATTTGTATTCAATACTTTATTAATAAATCTAAAAGATCTAATTAATTTAGAATATGTTTTAACATCTAATGAAGTGATCCAAGATGTTGTTTTAACTTATCCTTAATTATGTACAACATATTAGAAATAAAATAAAAGTAGGAATACAGATTGATAAATTTCTAAATCATCATGTTAATTCTTGTAATCAAGTACAATATCAGACATTTTATTTAAAATATCTTCAGGAACTTCTATTTTATTTATTAAACAATTTAGTACTTCTTCACTCAATGAATACATTTTAGGTAGATTCTACTTTGGAGTTATTTCAATTTTAATAGTTTTTTGAGTGTCTAAAGTATTAGCTCTATAAAATAAAGCTTATGGAGCCTTTTGATTTAAAACAAGTTGTGTAATTAATTCACTATAATATTACTCTAAAGTAATGATTGCAAAATCCATTTCTTATTAATCTTTTGGATAAGAAAATATTAACATATCAACTCCTCTTACCATTGTTGAGAAACAAATATCAAGCTTCTTTTATATTAATAATAATGTTGTTTATAAGATTTATGCTAAATCTCTATCATTTTGTTCATTTTCTACAATTTTATTAGTAACTTAATGTGTTAAATTGCTATAATAAATAAATCTCCAATTTTTGAAATCCATAAATAATTTACAAACTAATAATGAATTTTAAACATCCATTTAATAAGCAGTCTTTTTCCAAAATCCTAATAAAAGTAATTAAGAATAACATTCTAAACCTAATGAATTTTATGGTGTTAGTTTAGTATCATTAAATTTTAATGTTATAAATTCTGGATTAATATTTTCAAAAACATTATGAACTGCAAATGCTGCAACTAAACCTTTATCAATTTAGGCTTATCTTTATTTTCCATTAATTAAATATTAAACATTTAAACTAGCTGATTGTAATGCAATTGGTGAATAAGTAGTTGCAATTGATACTAAATATCTACCTAATTGATCAGCTAATTTGTATCTATTACAAACAAATATGCATAATTTGTAATTTTTGAATTATTCTAAAATATCTAAAACCAAATAAATAAAGGAGATATCAACCAAATCTAAATCTAAGATGAAATCAACCATATAATCAAATTCATGTTAATCAATCTATTTATTACTTAATTATGCAGATTTACTTCTTTAATTATATAATTAATATTTGAATTCATCTGAAAACATTGAAATATACTTTATTATTTATTACATTATTTTATCTTAGATAAAGATATCAGTTTTTGTTTTTACAAATTAAATATTTGGATTAGTATAAATTTAAGCATATGAAAAAGCAGAAAAATCTGATTGTTCACTTTTTTTGGATGCAATAGATTCAATAATTGATTTATTATCATTTTTTAACCATTAATCTTCTGGATCAAAGTGTGATAAATGTTCAAAATTCTATTCCTCCTAATCTTCCTCATTTAATGTTTTTTCTACTTAAAATGATTCTGATTCTGCAATACTTATTATCTTACTATTTTAATCTTTATTCTATTCAACCTAAAAACTTTCAGTATTTTATACAGAAAATGATTAAGAATCTTCAGAATTATTATTCATACTTTCTTATTTAACTAAAATAGATGGTTATGATTAATCAGGAAGTGATTTTATTAATTAACTACTTAACTCAATAATTTTCTCTTATTATTATTCTTCACTTTATTAAAGTATTTATTATTATTATTATTATTATTATTATTATTATTCATTTGACTCTTCATTTTTAATCTATTCTGATTAAGGTTTAATTACTTCTTATTCTTATTCATCATCATCATCTTCTTCTTCATCAGAACTTTCCTCTATAACAAGTGGTTTCTTTTCTTGAGTTTTTGTTTACTATTCCTAAACTTATTCAAGTTATCCAATCTAATTTGTCATCTTATTTAAAACAATTGGCAAATATTTCTTTAGAAATGCTGATCTAGTTTCAACTGGTATATTATCTCTCAATTAATGAAGTACTTTAAATATATCATCATAAGACTCAGCTTTTTCATAAGCATCTACTGCTCTTATAAAATCATGAGATTTCAAGAAATATTCAGCTGATTCAGAATACTTTTCACATTTATATGCTGCTTCTCCAGCCTCATTAAACATTTACTATTCAACATAAATAGTTAATGCTTCCTAATACATTTCACCAGAATAATAACATTAAGCTGCTTATTTGTAATTCTGTAATTTTAAGAATAGTTAAGCTGATTCAGTAAACTTTTATTTCTATTCTTATTTTGTTTATGCTAAAAGCTATTTTTTTTCCTTCTTCTTCATAGTACTAGAAGAATATTAAGAATATTTTTATATAAGTGTATTTCCTTCAGTTGCAATTTTGAATGCTCTTGCTTTTATTTATAATAATTCATCCTATGATTATTCAAAACATTTTTCAGCTTATTCATAATATTTATTTCTAAACATTTTCAAACCTTATTTTTTCCATTCTTCCTTAGATGTTTATTTTGCAAATCTTTCAACATTTTTATCCTCTACTTTTGTTCCAACAAAATGATCAACCAAATTAAGTTTTTACCAAATATTTTATATTTATTATCTAGCCTATTAATTTTCATCATATATTATTAATCTTTATCGAGGCCTTGTTACAGCAACATACAATTATTTAATCTCATTACATAAAGCACTATAATTATAAGTTAATTCATCATAATATTTGTTTTATGTTATGATTCTTTTCATTATAATATTTCCATTCTTTTCTTCAAAACCTGTAAAAATGGTTGCTTCATCATTTAAAGTTTAATGCTAAGTACAACCATCTTTAAATTTCTCTTTAGAAATTTCCTCATCCACAACATCACATGTCTATAACAATTTCCATTGACTATCTCCTATGAAATGATCTTAAAAGAAATTATATAGAATAACATCATCAAATTCTAATCCTTTTGCTTCATAAATTGTTAATACTAAAGCATGTTATAAGATAGAAGGAATATTTTTCTTTGATTCTTGATCCTTTACTAAAACAACTTAATTACAACCAAATTCAATAGGTAATCTCTCTCCCACTTATTATTTTTGATCTGTAGTTTCTCCTGATAATAAATAAAACAATGCTTCTTTATCACCATTTACTAATATTGGTTTTGGACCTGATATATTTGATCTCTCTTTTTTCAATTTATCAATTGTATTTGGAAAGAAAATCTCTAATATGGATACTAAACTATTTGCTAATTATAAAATATTATTGTGAGATCTAAAATTGATTGTAAGTTAATGAATTGTCAAATCATTTTATTTAGCATTGTATGAAATTTCTGGTTTTTTAAAAAGGGATTTCAAATCTTAGAATCTAAATCCAACTCCCTTTGCAATATTTTAAGCTGTATCTCCACTAAAAAATAAACCTTATTCAGTTATTTTACATAATAAAAGTAAAACAGCATGAGGTAAATCTTGACATTCATCAATCATAAGATAATGTATTGGTATAAGATTACATCTTCCATAGACTAATTAAACAAGAATATGATTAACTACATCCATAAAATCATAATATCCTTGTTGAATCTTCCATCTTTCATATAAAATATAACATTCAAAAATATCTTCAAAAAGTTGATCATTTTTATTTAATCTCAAATATACTCTCTTTGGTAAATAATGTCCTGGATATGTGTGACTAGCAGCAGCCCCTTTAAGATGAGAGTATATTTAAGTCCAGACAAATGATGGATTTAAATTACTATTTTAGTATTTATTGTTTTTGCTATACCAAAAGTTATCAATAAAAAAGTCAAAATCAACTTCTTAAGAGAGTTTAGATTTACTACTATCAACTTTAGCTTATAATTAAGGTTTATTCATTAAATATAATTGTCTTTAATATTCTTCTTCAAGTTATTATTCATCCAAATCATCAATATTTTATTCATCATCTTCAAATAAGGCTTCATAATCTTCCTCATCATATTCAATATCCTAATCATCATCTTTTTTATAAGTGTTTATAAATATGACTCCAGTTTTTTCAGTACTCCATTAAGCATGAGTATCGGAACTAATAATTTTATTATCTTAAGTACGAGAAAAGAAAGGTTTTGCTAATGATCCATCAATTAATAATACTAATTTTTTAATTGTAAGAAAAGCTGGAAAATCTTAATCTTTCATATCAGCAAATGAATGAAATGCATTTAATTCTTATTTTAATTTTTCTTCCTCTTATTCCCAATCTTCTTCATTTAATTCTTCTTAAAATCCTTCTTACTCTTTTTATAATTAAATTCCTCCAATTTATTATTCAAAATATTTTTCTTCATCCTATTTAGCATCTACAAATTAAACTGTACTTTAATTAAATTAATTATCAATTGATTATTTTTAAGCTTCTTATTATTCTTATAAACGTTTTAATCTGTCTTTCTATTTCTTTTTTTCTAATTCAGCCTTAATTTATGCTGTTAATTTTCCATAATATCTTTTTACTTCTGTAGTTAATACAGGACTAGCAGTAGCAAATACACAATGTAATCCAATATTATTATTTACTTCTTAATCATCATAATTATAATTTTAAAGTACATTTTCATGTTTCTATTTATATAATTCTAATCTTAATTTAAATAATGTTTCCATAGCAAATAATCTTAAAATTGAACATGTTGTCTTTCCAGTTCCACTTCTACCAATAACCATTACATTTCCATCTGATCCAACAACCTATTATTCTTCTTCTGTTAATTTTATTTTAAAATTAGGAACTCTTTACAATAATTCAACAAGTTTTGCTGCTGATGAAAAATCAGCATATCTTCTTAATAAATCTTTATTAATTTTTGCTTAATATTCTCTCATTTTCTTAGCTTATTATATGATTTCATAATCTTTACTAACCCATCTTTATAGTGATTCATCAAAAATAAATGATTTTTGTTCTTATTTAGTCAAATAAACAGTAGGAAATGAATGAGGTAACCATTTAATAATTTCATTTGATCTTGTTCGATATACCAATTCCCCATGCATACTACCTAAATCATTAGCTTCAATTGAAAATAGATATTCCGAAGTCTTATTTTTCTTAATTTAATAATGATTTGAAGATGTAATTACAGATTAATAATCTTATCTATGGATAGCATTTTATACATCCTAATAATAAGAAGTAATAATTTTTCCAGCATTATTATCAATATTGGCATCATATCTACAATCTATGAATGTAATAGTATGTATATAATCATAACCTAATAATTCTTATTAAGTATTAGAATATCGTCCAATCTTTGGAATTTTATCAATTGCTACTTCCCAGAAAAGATTTATATTTTTATCTGTTTTTGTATAGAAAAAAGCTTAAAGAGGCCCTAGATGTTCAAAATGTATAACTTTTGTAATCATAGATTAATCTGCTTAAGAAAAGTACCCTTACAAAATTGTTTACATATAACCTAACAAATGTATAGTGTCTACATCCTTTTATAATGCATTTTATGCAAATTTAGCTAATTATTAATTATATAGAGTTACTCATAATCTTATAATTCCAATTATTACTTTTCAACAAATTAGCATTCGTTAAATGGTAATTGTAATTTTAATTTCTTGCATCATAATTTATTTTTGAAATTTAATCAATTTAACCAGCCAAAATATTATCTGTACGAAATGTTGAATTGTAAGTTAACCATTTTCTGGCAAATTAATTAGGAGTAATATTTTAACCTGAGTTAATACAGTATGACAATTTGTCATAGATAGTATCTGATATACTTTATTTATTTGAATTAACAATAGAACGAATGCCATTCTCTTCAACTTAAAGAGTTTTCTTTCCTTTTCTCATTAATATATTGTATTTATATTTTATTAAATAAAATAATTCTTTAATGTTTATAACAATAGGCACTGATAATTTCTGATTTTTTTGTACTATTTTATATATTTTTTTTGTTTAATTCGTTAATAATGAAACCATCAAGACCACCAATTTGTTCAATTCCAAACCAAATTATTGTTTATGATCAAAGACTACCTAGACCTAACTCTACTAAGAATGCACCTGATACTAGATAAGTTATTAGATGTTTATCATCAAATCATGAGACACAACCTATGACCTATACCTACTTTCCCACATAACCAAGGCATTTAATATTATTTATTTTAGAGCTTCAAGTCCAACTGCTATCACAAGAATCCCTCATCAAGAACATATTCATGTGAATTAATTTCAAAATTTACCTATTGATAGTGATCCTATCTAACATAAATAAGCCACAAGTGTTGAATATGTTCCTATTTAATAAGAGCAACAACATTAAAAATATATTGAAGAAATCAATTAAAAAAATTAAGCTATTATTGAATTGTAAGAATAGATATCTGAATTGCAAAATAAGCTATCAGAAAAAATTCAAGATTACACTGTATTAAAGGAAAAATTTGATATTGAATTCAAAAAGTTTTAAGAGGAAATTTAACTACAAATCAAAGGTATAGATTTAAATATTTAACTTAATGAATACACTTCATATTTTATGTAAGAAATAGATAGAAAAGTTCTCAATTTATAAAGTAATATCAATTCCTAAATTGATGAAATGAAAGTAGATTTGGAAAGTAAATTAAAATAAAATGAACATTTTTCAAAAAACTTATTATCAAATACAACAATTAGATTAAATTAGGATGAATAACATTTTCAATAGGAACTTTCAATTTTATAAAAAAAGTTAGAATAAAAAATGGATAAAAATATGGCTGAACAAATTATTGCTTAATCAATTTCAAATTTATAATAATAATACTAAACTTAATTATCATAAGCTCATTAAATAATTGATAAAATCAATTCAGATAAAAGTGATGAAATCAATAAAATTAAAATAATTATTAATAATTAATTACTTTAGGTAAATCAATAAGCTTAAAGTTAAATATAATAAATTTTAGAAATGGTATAAGATAATTCTTAAAGTTAATAAACTGCAAAATAATATTCTTAATAACTCAAATAATAATATAATTCTCTAGTTTCTAAATTTTCTTAAATACAATAATAATATACATTAAAAGTTTAACAAAAAGATGAAAAATTATAAATAATCTCTAAATAAAATGAAGAACTTAAAAAAGAAATTTAAGATTCTTAATTAATTATTTAAAAATAATAATAAGAACTCTATAAAATATCTTCTAATAATAAATTTTAAAAATCTCCTTATGTACAATAAATATTGTCACCAAAAAATATAAAATCAAATAGTTTTTACACAAATTCAACAAGTGCTGGATTGAATTTCACTAAAAATAGACCTTTGAGTGTTTCCAAAAAATCTAAAAAATAACATAATTCAAATCCTTTTGAAATTAGTATTGAAGATTTTGCTAATTTTAATGAAAACTCAATTTTAGATTCTAATTAAAGTATTGAATTATTAACTCAAAATGGAAAATCAAGTTTAATTTAATCACCTAAAAATCCTTTTAAATCATCATAATTAATGAATATTAATAGATTTTTAAATGAGAATAATACTAAAATTCCATTTATTGAAAGTACTATAAAGAAATAATCAGAAAATATCCCACCTTTACATTAAGCTATTAAACGAAGTAATTATATTATATTTATAATAGGATTGCTCTATTTAGGAAAACAATAAAAGACTCTTCTTTGTACATATTCTGGAGAGTAATTATGTGATGCAGAAATGGGTATGTAACTCTTAGATGATAATGGAAAACCATTCATAATCAATGAAGATGAAAAAAATGAACTAATAGCAAAATAACTTATATAACTAATTTGATTAATTATTATTATTTATTAATTTTTTACACGTAATGTATTTTTTATTTGCAATTCTTTTTTATGGAGTTATAGGCATACAATTTACTTTCCCATTAAGATCAAAGGAGTTGAAATGCTTTGGAGAAATTATTGGTTAAAATAGTTTGGTTGTTGGTTCTGTTTCAGCAAATTCAAGTTAATTTTCATTAAAAATACATGTATGAAAAATAATCATAAACAATAAGGTACCATAAAAAAAGAATGATAACATTTTACAGTATGCTCATAGTCTTGAATTACATAAATTTTCATTTACAACAAATAACACTTAAGAAAATTATTAATTTTGTATACATAACTTAGCAAATGCTGGAATTAGTTTTAATTTTACATTAGCTACAGGAATGGATGCATAGGATTTTTCTTTAGTAGCTTAAAAGGAAGACTTAAAACCAATAGAAATACACTTGAAGAAATTGAATGGATTAATAAATTCAGTTGAAGTAAATTATTAATTGTTATTAATTCTAGTAAGAATAAAAAGAAATAGAAGAAAGACAAGCAACAAGATTTTCTAATGTTAGCAAAATTTCATATAAAATTATAATCTTTAGTGTTGTTACATTGATTTTGATGACTTTAACAAATATTGTTTAAGCTCGTTAATTGAAGAATTTCTTTAAATAAAAAAAGCTTATCTGATATAATTTCATATTTCTTGTTAATATTTATTATTAATTTATATGTACAATAGAGAATATTCAAATACAAAATAAATTAAAAAATTTGTAATTGAAATAGAATAATATGTTTTTTATTGATAAACTATTAGATAGTTTATAATATTGAATTCATATTCAAATTATTATAATATGTATATATTCTAAAATTTACAATAAGTAAGAAATAAATTTAATAAAAATATATATAATTACATTATAATTATAGAAATACAAAAGAAATAAATTTTATTTTTTATAAATCATATTTCATTTTCTATCTGTTTATTAAGATAATAATCGATCATCCCTTGATTTTACAAAAAATAAAGGTTTAGTAATTTAAAAGAAATTTTGAAATTAAGCACAACTTTTTGTATCTTCAATTTAATGAGTTTCAAAGTCTATTTAAGATTATCTTGCACTAAATATTTAAGTAGTTGTTGATTTATTGTTTGAATTATTTTCAAAACATCTTGATTAAAGTTTTTTTCTTAATATAGCATTATCTAATGGCATAGGAGAAACAGGTTAAGAATTTATATCTTAACAATTAATTTTAGAAACCTAAATTTATGGTGAGAGAATAAATTTTTTTTGGGAATTGAACTTTTTAGAATAAACTTTTTTTTTAATTTTATCTAAACAATGTTGAAATTAACCAGAATTTTAAATTTGAGTATTTTAATTTTATGGTGCATTAGATATGAACCTTAACATAATTTCATAATGTTCTTAATTTTCTATTGGATATATAGTATTAGCAAAATTTGATTAAGATTTTGACATTTATTGATTTTCTTTAACAATTTCTTTTAAATTTAAAGCACCTTTTATAGAAGATCTTATTTTATCTTATGTTAATTTTCTTGGAGTACAATAATAATTTTCATTAAAATTATTTTCAGTAGATATTTATTTATTAGGAGTATTTTATAGAGATAATCTTCTACAATCTCTTGAAGGATTATTTTTATAGATCTCTTTTTTTCTTTCTGTAGTTAATTAAATATTTTTGGATAATATTAAGTTCATTTAACGAAAAATATCATAAAATTTCTATATTAATATTGGTAATTATTCTTTTCTAATTAGAAATGCTTCTGTTTTACTTATACATTAACAACAATATTCACGGTTTGATACTTTTTAAATTATTTCCTCTGCTCCAACTAAACATCCAGTTGATTATGTTCTTATTGATATTTTTGATCTTCTTATTAATGATTTACCTATATTTATATTTTCATAATGATATGTTTCAACAAGACCATCAATTACAAAAATCATATATTTTGGTTCATCTCCTTTTTACCATAATTATTATTTTGGTTCATAAGATGTTTATTTTGTAAAATTAATAAATTACAACAATTTATTTTCACTAACATTATGAAATAAATTTTTAAAGAAATCTAAATTTTTTCTTGTTTAAGCTAATTCTCTTCCAAATAATAATTTATAGTCTGACTTTTTCATTGAAATACATAATAATTAACTACTGGCAATAACAGTCTCTTTAGCATTTTCATCATTTTATAGATCTCCAAAATGTTACCCTACTTTATAAGTTTCATTCTAGGATGAAAATTAATAGAATTACTTATTAGAACTACACTTATCCACCTTTCCAATAAAGAGGATTATGATATTACATACGCATAACAAGTTCCCATATTTCAATTTAACGGGCAGCTCTTTTACTTTTTTAATTAACAGGTGTACTACACTATTAAACAATCAAATGCTCTTTTTTAATAGGAATAAATTCCATTGCAGATCCTTCCAATATAATAAATAATTTCTATTTTTCATCTCCAATATTATATAGAATTTCACCAAAAGAATATTCCTCATATCTGAAGTAAGGTATTGCTTTACGAATGAAATCTTCTAAAGATATTTCTTATGGTCTATGTTTCTCAAAAAAATCAATTTTTTTAAAAGAAGGTAATACAATTTTTATTAGATTTTCTGTAATTAATCTCTCATGAGTCTAATATAAACTAATAACTGTATCAATATCATCAATATCATGATCTAAAGTCTCAGTATATTTTATTAAAAACATGCAATATTCGATAAAAATTTAATCATAAATATATTATTTCTTTCACTTATAATAATTTAAATCAACACCTACACCGCAAACTGAAGTTGTACCTGAATATTACTTGATGCTGGGAGTAGTCCAACCACCAAATTTATATTTAGGAAAATCATCAAAAGTTGGTGTTTGATCATAATGAGGGTACCATAATGGAAGGGAACTAAAGTGAGAACATGCTGATGCACTACCAAATATAGATGTCCACATATATTATGAAGCATATATTCCAACAGATTTACTATTACCTTTCAATTCATTAACAAGTTCCTATAGAAAATTACAATTGCTTCCATAATCATTTGTCCATCCACAATCAGTACTAGGATTAGATTCAACATCAACCCAAACTGTTCCATAAACTTATGTTTATTAATTGCCAAAAAGCTAAACAAATTCTTAAACTTAAGACTTTGCTGTTTTTTCTAAAATATTTATATACAATTATATAATTACTTCCTTTGCAAGGAAAGAAGTAGACATCACCTATTAATCCTGCTGCTTTTGCTTTTTCTAAATTTTAATAACCATCTGGATCCACTGCTCCATAACTTCTGTATGCTCTTGTAATAGCAAATTGATATCCATTCTTTTTGAAGCATTAGAAATCATCATGTTTAGCACTAAGATCAATTCCTAGGACTGCCAATGAAGTATATATTTATAAAGCTACAATTAATAATGATGTCATTTTCATTATTAATAAAAAATAAATTAAATAATATGAATAATATTGTAATTATGAAAAATTAATAAATCAAAATTATAAATTATTTTCCATTTGATTATTATTAGCATTATATATTTAACTCTTAATCTCAATATTAAATTAATTTATTATTTAATATATAACTCAAAATAATTTATTATTCTAGATAAACATATGAAGACAACATAATTGACAAACAGTTAGACTAAATTCACATTGAATTGTAAACTTATTTAATACTTTAATTAAGGAAAAACTGATATTACATTTTTAATTGAAAATTTTTAGTAATTATTTATTTTCCTACATAAAAATGTTCCATTCACTATTATTTTAATAATTTAAGAATATATTTATAAATTAAAAATAAATTGGTTAATTGTCAAGATAGTTATTTGATATAGTAAATGTATGGTGTAAAATAAAATCTTAAGAAAGCAATAAGTTTTTATTAAAAGTTAGACAAATGGTATAATAGATATAATTTATTAAACAAAGTTTTGATAATGTAAATATTGATAAAAAAAATTGTTTGATTTCATAATGAAGAAAGCATCTGATGAACCTGAAAAAATTAACAGAGTTTATGAGGAAGAAGAATCTGTTCACAAAAAATTTATTAGACGGATTGAATAGAACAGTGCCTATAATATTAGAAATTTATAAAACAATGAATCTAGCAAAATATAGCAAGAAGACTAACAATCTGATTTTTAAGATGATTAAAATAAACACTTAAAATATGAGATTACTTGTAAAGTATGCTGGTAGTTAGTCGAATATTATTTGGTTATTTATACACTTACCTTTAATTCATCCTTAGTGTAAAATTTGGCTAACGAAGTTGATGCAGTCGGAATTAAATGTTGTTTACTTTGGATAATTATGATAATTTTTAACATCTTTTTCTAATTGTTCCAGATAAATATATTTATATTGGAGAAAATTCTTCAATAAGGCACATTATTGATAATCTTTTATGGTTTAATAAAACTTGGAACAACAAAAAGCTCATGTAAATTATTATAATAAATTAGATCTCATTGTAGCAGTTAGTGGAAGTTGTTTCCTTATTTTATATCTAATTACTTGTTGGTTGTTAAAATATGTTAATTTAACTAATCTATTTGTACGAATATTTATAGTATTAGTTTAAATTTAAGAATCTTATATATTTTTTTTAGATATTTTATTATCCAATTCTTTGTGGATGGAGATTGACATTATCTTATCATCAACTTTAATTATTTCATATAATACAATCATATTTTTTAGGATTGATAAATATCAAAATGAAAAAATCATTGGACTTACAGAATATTTTGCTTCTTTTATAACTCGAGAGCTTATAAAGATAACAATTATGATAAGTATAATTTTAAGTCAGTCAAAAATTATTGAATGATAATAAATAATAAAAAAATAAAGATAAGATTTTTCAATCATATTAAATTTTGACTTATTAATGTAAATATTCTAATAATGAAGTTGCTTTTTTTAATTCAATTTCATCTAATAATATGTTAATTTCTATAATTGATTTGTTTTCAATTTAGAGTCTTAAAAATCCATTTATTGGTTCTTATATTTCTAAAATTTCTTTTGTAATAATTTCTTAGATAAGTGTCATATTCTCTAGTACTATAATATATTAATATGATAATATAAGAATTTTAGAAGTTTATTTAAAACATTCATGAATTGATTTAGTAGCTGATAATATTTATCTTTACATATTATTAAGTTATGTTTCAGTTTCTTTTAAATAAAAACAAGTAATGAGTTCAATATCCTTATATTTTCCATTCATAAATCCAATTAAAAAATTAATTACTTGAGCATCTAATGCAATATATTTTTAAAAATATTTAGATTTCTCATAGAAAATTCTTGGAAATCTAATTCTTGTATCATTTGGTTTATCATCAAAATGTGTTGCAGTTGAAACCACTCCTTCAGCTGCTTTAGCACTAGCATCTAATACTCCAGCTATAGGTTTAACAACCAATCCAGATAATCCTTTTAGAGTTCCCTTAACAAATCCTTTAATACCATTTTTCTAAGTTTCTTAATATGGTTATGTGACTACTCCAGTAATACCATTTGAAAAACCATTATAGAGACAATGTCCTGCTTAAGATAATCCATCTAAAACGTGATCAGGTCT